TGGCAATTTTAAACGAGACATCAAGCTTTTGGAATAAAGCAATAAGGAACAAAATCAAGGTTCAAACATTGACAGACCTTAATATGTAATCATTTGAAAAATTGCAGTTGCCAACCTTATAGAGGGGGTGTATAAATATTATATGTGTCATAAATTGTTTAGTTGTAGAAACCAGAACCCAGAGGAAATAATAGTGCCTTACATTCTCTCAAAGACAATGATCATTTCCGTGGCACTGGGTTTGTTGACATTACTTATATGATATGTGACATTACGCGAGTTTGGTCCTAAGGCCAACATATTCCAATGGTGCAGAATCCCACTCGCCCCATCAAGTCCCACTATGCCATATCGAGTCCCACAATGTCCCAAGAGACCTTGTTAACTTTGCCCCATGGGGTCTCATCAAGTCCCTCCATATCCCATCGAGTCTCACGGAAATGATGTAATTTAGTTTAAAAGGTTTTGTCAAGGTCATTTTGATCCCAAGTTAGCTGACACATCCCATGGTCAAAAGTCCCACGATGCCCAATGGAAAGAATGAATAGGTTCATTCTCAGTGGGACTTCGCCAAATGATACCCAATCGAATCTCATGGGACTCAATGGGGCTTCATGGGGTAAATCCCAAGGAATCCGAAGGAGTTCCATCGGGCAAAGCTCAATGAAGTCTAACAGATTTCCATGAGGTCCCACCCAATGTTAAATCAATGGAGGTCCCACCATCCCGTATTGGTGTATGTTAGGCTTTAGCGAAGTAACTTCCTTTGTTTACATTCATCAAATCGTTAAAAAGGAAAAGTTGTCAAAACTTTGTAAGAGCGTGATTATTTGGACCGATTTCACTTGTCTGCTACAGCTATTTTAGTTTTACACGAACTGAGTGGGCCAGTGCCATTCATAATATCTTCAAATAAACTTTTTCTCCTGCATTCAATTCATGACCACATGTTACTACAGAATTCATAAGATCCTCGGGGATGAGCCATTCCATTGTCACTTGGCCTTGGATTGAATGTCTTTAACTCGGGTGAATAGGTTTATTATGAAGGGGTTTCCATGATAACATATGAGTCTTGGAAAAACTATTCCAAAAGTCAATGGGAGTGACAAAACGTAAGTAATGCTTAATAACTGAGTGTGGATTGGTTGATCCCAAGATATTATCAGTCAGTAGCTTATTACATAGTTTAACAGTTAGCAGGGAACAGAAACTGGAACTTACTGTTATGCGGTAATCACGATACAAAAATATGTCATATTCCGCAATGAATATGGCATATTCACTTGCGGTGTATGACAGATTCACCTGCGGTATATGGCATACACACTAACAAATGAGAATGTGATATGGAAGTACGCAGTTGTCAATTGCTTAGATTGAACGAACAAGTTAAACATTATAAATTATTATAATGATTACTGAATCAACAGCACTGTGTATCAAATATATTAACTTAGAATATATTAACTTAGCAGAAGTATCAGTCACCAAACTTGTGCAATAAACTTAATCAATCCAGGATTGATACATTAGTACTAGACGCACTAACTATATTGGTAATCCAGCGTAGTTTTTCATTTAGAGTCGATTCTCACAACCAATCAAATCAAGGCTTTCTGTATCACGTTTTGGACTGCAGTATATGGCACTTTCCGCAAGTGAGTATGACATATTCCGCAGGTGAATATGGGGTATTCACTGAAATCAATGTATCGCATATTCACTGCGGAATATTGCATACCCACCAGCAGAATATGCCATACACTGCAGGTGAGTATGGCATATTCACCCGTATCACAAATACTGCGCAACCATGAATGTATGCCATATACCGCGTAACACTTACTGTCGATCATGCTGCTCCAGGAATAATGAGTCATCTGTACAAAGCATAATCAAGGTGGTAGAAGCAAATAAAAACCCATTTAAGATTGAAATTTTGATAATTAGCCATCTTGATTTTCAAGGTTTCAATTGCTCCAACTGTATAATAACATGGAAGTCGAAGATGATAATAAGCTCCATTAAATACTTACTATGGAGGTGATGACTTTGCTGTGGTTTCTTAACTCTTCTATCTACAGCTAGGGATACAAATATTTTCTGTACAAAGTACAATCAATTCCCTTGAAACTATGTGAAGTATCGGGTGCGAGACTAGCAGTGAAACATTATCTCCAATTCCTTAGGGACAATAGGGGCGAAGCCAGCTTTGGTTCAGTGGGGGTTTGATCGCCAAAACATTTTCGGTTTTCAGTCAGGGGGATGCAACTGTGGCATAAAAAAGGCTAAAAATTAAGATATATCTTGAATTTTACAAATCTTGATTCAACTTCCTTCAAAATAGGGCTAGAAGCTTAAAATAAAAAAAACATTTTAAAACTCTTCTTCTATCTCATGGTTATATATTTTTTTATTGGTTATGGGGGGGGGGGTGCGATCCCATTGCACCCCCTGGCTAAGCCTATGGACAAGATGTATTATTTTGACATAAACAAAACATACGCATCTTGTTATGTTCTACAGACTACAACTAAACAATTTATGACATATATACAATACAAAGTGTGCAAACTGCAACTAGGCTCTGAGAAACTCTGGCTCTTAATCATTTGTAGTGTTACAATTTGTTATTATATAGCCAATTATTTGCAGCAACAATAGGAGTCCTGTTGCAGTTTACATGTTTACATGGACCCTATATTATAAAGCATGTACACCCCCTCCATAAATTTGGCAACTGGAAGTTATTATATGATAGGATATCAAAGTCTGTCAATGTTTAAAACTTGATTATGTTCCTTATTACCATATTTCAGATACCTTGATTTCATATGCCAAAAATAAACAGACTTTAATAAGTGATTCAAAGGAGTTTGAGTTGTCAAACCTATGATGGGAAGTGCTATCATTCATAAACATAAATTATAACTACATGAACAACATAAGGAAAGAATGGCACCCGAAACACAGTTTTGAAAAATGTTATTAGTACACATACATGTATTTCCAATTGCTGACCACACATGCCCTAAATGGTTTTATGGTTTATGGCAATGATAAGCTGTAAAAATATAAAATGATAGATAATGAATATGTTTAGCATATTATGATGTCACATATTGTGTTAAGATTTATTTAGAATAACACTTTTTGCTATAATGATACATATTTTCTATTTGACCCTAGCAAAATGTTCAACAACTGAAGTGTAAGGTGCCACGCCCCCTTTCTTTAATTTTTAGGGGAAGGTTAAGGGAAAAATCAGAAAAAATAGATGCATGCACTTTTTATTGAAACTTATGCAAGAAATATTTGCTAACATCATCAGTGAAGTTTTTAATCAGGTTTTATACACAATAGGCTCTTACTGTTTTTTAAATGACTGATTAAATATCGACTGATTAAGAAATTTTGAGAAGAAATTATGTACTTTTAGGGACGAATTATCCCATATCTCTACCAAATGTTGTTGGATAAGACCCAAACTTTCAGGAATTCTTCATACATACCTTATTGATATACTAACAATGTTTCATTACAATTGCAGCATCCTGAAATGAGATATTAGATAGTTTCTAGCATATGGTCAAACTCCGACTCGAAAATGATAACATTTGCTGACTCAGCACTTTTGAGCCTGCTTTGCAAGGGTTCACAAACTTTTTTTTACATGCCTTGGGGTCCCCTACAAGAATCTAAAGTCAAATTGAATCTAGGTGTTTTGGACACAAATCGCCTTGGCCGTAGCACTATAAGTACAATGTCATCTTTCCGTCTCAATTTCCCAAAATCTTGGATTTACACTAAGATTGAAATAATTTCAAGAAGTGGGCCTATTTCCTTTTTGAGAAAGCGCTGCAATTTCTGGCTCAGATTTTGAATTGTCTGAATGTAATAAAAAATAAGCATTCTGAAAAACAGAAGGATATGATGGCATGCAACAGGCCTGAGGTGTCACTTTGTCACATGTGTCATAGATTTCATAGGTGTCATATACATGTACATGTATATGTACAATACTTCAATTGTAAATTAAATTCTTGTTACTTTTACATGAATCTTATTATTATATTCAGAGGTGGTACATGTATTTTAAGAAGTACATTCAGAACATTAGGTACATTTATTAGAGTCACAGAAGCATAAAGTATAAGCACTTCTAAAATATGAGATACTAGAGACTCCAAAATGTTGCAAACTTATTGTTAGTTTGATATGATGTATAATACCTGTAAAATTATAAGGTATGGGAGCATCTAAGATAAGGTAAGGCAGGCCCGTAGCCAGGATTTGCCAAGGGGGGTTTACTTTTTGAAAATTCCAGGGGGGGGCCAAAATCTCTTAAAAAGTGCTCAGAATGGTGAAAAACTGCATGAATTTGAGACATTTGGCTGGGGGGAGGGGGGTTCGCTCGAACCTATCGAACCCCCCCCCCCCCGGGCTATGGGCCTGTAAGGTATAAGAACACCTCTCGGGGATAATCCAGTCTTCCAATCTTCTTTATTTCAAGCATGCAGAGGATGTAGAGGTGGGATAATTTCTAGATTCTTGGAAACCAATTCCATTATAGACTCATAGAGTTAGATTGAAGGAAATAGTTTCTTTGGAGAGTATTGTTAAAGATTGAGAGTACATGGTTGATTTGAATGCGTAATAGAATTAAAGTTATTGATCCGTGAGATAATGCAGCTTATCAAATGGATTAGAACATGTGGGGTTTCATCGAAGGTTCATCGCTCGTGAGTAATCATTGTGTATGTAGGATTACTAACTGAGGCTTTTAAGTAGTTATGTGTTGCGTGGGGGGGGGGGGTGAGGTTACCCATGATTCAGGACTTTGATTGATTATTTGTTATTTGATTATTGTTCTTTGGTAGTTATTTTGCATGTTGATGCATTGTAAATAAGATGTCAATGGCAGCATCTATAAGACAAAGGGTGGCTGTATGGCTGTAGAGAAATTAAAATTAACATCTGATTTTCTGTTCTTTCAGATATGTTGTTACTGGGCTAACTATAGGGGGCGTTAGTATATATTATGCAGTTACAAATAAGGTAAGTAACAAAGCATTGAATTAATTCCCAGCTTCTAATTGTGGTAATCAATACTTCGTTTAATTAATTATGATTCACATAAGATACAGAAAAAATATGCCCCTTTGAATTGTTTTCTGACAAAAATAATTTGTACTTCAGATTCTGAATGACATAAATACAGGATATATTGATGTCATATTGACCAATCAATGAGATTGTTTAAAATTCCACCGTCAATGATTTAAGTTATTCAAGGAATCCAGTAATATATGGAAAGCATTTTGCCTAGTATGAATGTCTACCTACATTCTTTTGATGAGAGTAAATATTTTCTGCACAAAGAATCATTGAATATAGGTTTGCTTCTATGATATTAGGGATTCATGCTATTTTATATTCAACTAAATATGATGACCTTGACCTTGCCAGTATGTGATTGTATGATGGCAGTGTGTGTATACTGTGTGCATGCAGTGACAATGACCGAATATTCCGATGCTATAAATTCAAATTGCCCAGATTGTTGGAAATGACATCATCATTGAATTAAAATTGAATCCAAAGCAATACAACTGTATCCAAATTCAAGTCAATAGAGTAAGATTCAATAGAAAAGACAAAATGATATGACAAGATATGATATGATATAATACAATACAATACAATACAATTTGATACTATACAATGTTACATATACTATACTATACAATATGTACATATAATACAACGTATCATATTAATTATGTCACCACCAAAAAGTGGTAACATATTGTTATGGTCTCCATTTTTTTGACAGCAGTTGGTGGTTGGCGGTTGGGAATCGGCGTCTGTAACAAATTCAATAATTAAACAAATACTGTATAGACTGACTTCAGTTGTTTTCAAAACCATCTACATGTTTTCAGTAGTTCAGATCTGACTTTATATTTAGGACAAAAAGGTCTTTTTTCAACTTGCTTCAAATTAACCGATTTTTTTTTCAAAATCATCTACAAGTCCTCAACATTTCAAATCTGACTATAGATTTGATCCTTAAATGACATTCTCAAGGTCAAAATAAATTTGACCTTTAATGACCTCCTCAAGGTCAAAAAGGTCTTTTTTTATCTTGCTTCAACTAGCTGGTGACATTTTGTCATATTAATGCCTTGTTTTCTATTCTTACAGGCTTATGCATGGTGGGGCAGTAGTGATCTAGACAAGTCAAAATGGATGGCGGATGCAATAACAAAACCAGATACACTAAAAGAGGTATGACATGATTTACATATTAGGTTTGACCCTTTAATAACACATTAAGTTTCCCATCATCGTGGTTGTGAGAGATTGATTTAAAGAAACAAAGAATTTTCTTGTATAAATTCTCTCCTGATTCAAAGTTTTGATTGATTTTTGATTGTAGCCCAATTCTCTATTCAAACAATTTCCTGTGATTAGAAATAAAGATAGAGTTATATTACGTAATTTATGATCCAATAGTCCATCTATCATACTATTCCACCTTTTGAATAATTGTGATTCGTATGAGTGATGATATGTAAAGAAAGCTTTTTATGTCATCACCACAAGTTTAAGTTTCCAACTTTTTAGTGGCAGTATTGGTTTGCATTCGGCATCTGTAACAATTGGCAGGTGGTGACATTTTGCATTTTAATGCCTTGTTCTTTTTTTGTAGGACAAGGACAACATGAGAGTAAAGATGGAGCTGCTAATTATGAGAATTCAGGTACAATATTAATTAATATATTCTACACATTTCCTGTACTTGCATAAATATTTGTCTGATGAAACAAATTTTAGTAACCAATAAAAGAATGTGTACACTTAATTCACCAATACTTACCTTTAACTCAGTAAAATGTGTCATTTTGTGATTTACAAAAGTAAATTATTGATGGTTTATATTCATTGTTTATATATGTTTTTCACAGGGTGAGGTTTGCAGGGCACTTGAAGGTTTAGAGCCAGAACATCAAAAGTTTATGGTCGACAGATGGGAAAGAAAAGAGGTAATTATAGCAACAGCTTCCTGTTATGTAACATGGTGGTTTGATGTAACAGTGTGAACTTCTATATAGTCAGGGTAACTTTTGTGATGATTATTAGATGAATTACACGTGAATGGATTATATATAAGATCGTGTTGTCATCAGGTACAATGTATGCATTTTTGGTATTAAGACGCCTGTACTTACTAACAAAACAAAGTTCTGTCACTATATCAGCAGATGTATTATGTTGTACTTTTGCAGGTTGGAGAAAGTATAAGCTATGACCTCTCTGATGGAAAGACATTCAATACAGATTTAATGTTTTATTGTGACTATGGCAACGCATTAATATTGTTTTTTACAGGGTGGAGGGGGTATAAGCTGTGTCCTATCTGATGGCAAGACATTTGAGAAGGCATGGTTGAATATACCAATGGTTTCTATAGTAACCATTGTCTGTTACTATGGCAACATTTATATATTGATCATTGTACTTTTACAGGGTGGAAGGGGTACTCTGTATCCTATCAGATGGCAAGACATTTGAGAAAGCAGGGTTGAATATATCAGTGGTTACTTAGTAAATATTGTCTGTTACTATGGCAATATAGATATAATATTGTCCTTCTACAGGGTGGAGGGGGTATAAGCTGTGTCCTATCAGATGGCAAGACATTTGAGAAAGCAGGAGTTAATGTGTCAGTGGTGCATGGGATGTTACCTGCAGGAGCTGCCCAACAGATGAGATCCAGGTACATGTATATGTTTGCATTTACTTTATGTGTGTTCTCTTTTCATTGCACAAATGTATTGATATATTGAACACTTATATATTTTAGTATATGAGCTATTTATTAAGTGCAAGTGAGCCTAAATTTTAGGTGCATGTGTTACCATATAATAGTAGAACTGATGTAGTTGATGCATGGTAGACTACTGTACTTAGTATACTTACACACTAATTCCGCAATACTGTATATTGTACCTTGACCATTCAGGGGCAAATAGACAAGGGGATGTGTTTTTTAATCCCTTCCCATCCAGCCCCTTTTTGAAAAGTAAGGTTCATTTTTCCATAAGATGCCCATTTTCTAATAAAATTGAGCTTTTTATGAAAAACAAAAAAACTTCAGATGTTCATGAAAATTATATCTTATCTTTAACACAAATTCTTACTGAAAAACATACTGGAAAGTGATGAATTTTACTAATATTAGGATGTTTATAGCATAGTGTTGTAGTCAAATCTTTTTGTTCTGTAGACCCAGTACATTGAATCAGTAAGTTTGAAATCTCCATGGGATAGATTTTCTAGTGCAATGTGCATGCATATTTTGCTTTGCTAAGGCTCATTAAAGGTTGTATGGTTAAAGGTTGTATAGTCATGTGGTAGTCAAAAATTAGAAGTCGTCATGATTTTTGTTGCTTATAATTATTAAAATGAATGCAATGTGACATATTCTTAGCAATATCTTTACTACCCATTAAATTTAAGATGTTTTTCAGGCCTGTAGCCAACCTTTGCCAAGGAGGGTTCACTTTTAAAAAAAATTCATTTTCAAAAATGCTTAGAATGGCGAAAAACTGAATGATTTTGAAAGAATTTTTGGCCAGGAGGGTTTCAATTGAATCCACCTCTGGTTCTGGATCTGTTTTTAAACAACATGTACTTCCTTTTATGGGCACTTATTGAACTGGTCATGGAAAGGCATTATTATATGAAATTCATACAATACAGAATGTATACTAGCCTAATTTGAACAAAAATATACATTAAATTATATCTGAAATACATTTAGTCATCATTAACTATAAACAACCTTTAAGGCGCTTTGCTTGGCATTGAGCATGACAGTTAGTGGTTTAATGTTCTGCTTTGTTGGCTGTGCCTTCATGTATATGTAAAATGATAATGCTAATATTTAAATTATAATTAAAAAGTAGATTTGTGTTGTTACGTTTTTACATCCTAGTATGGCACTTTACTTTTGTGTTTGGTTTAACACAGGTCACATGACATACGTTTGAGAACTTCCCTTAAAGGTCCCTGGCAAAGTTTGAAAATATTGAACCATCTAAATATAATTTGTCATAACTTGTAAAGTTGTTTGAGAATTCGAAGTTAAAAAAAGTTATTGGTCTTTTAATATTTTCAAATATTTGAATTTCCTGCCATTTTAGCAGCAAAAGTTAAAGTTTTTAGACTGTCAAATATAACACTATAGTTATATAAACTATGAATTGTTTACTAAGATATGAGCCTAATTATGGAAAAGAATATCTTCTAGATCCATATTTTTTTACTACCTTCTTCCACTGAATTTGGAATATCTTTCATAATGTCAACATTTTGTTTATCATTTTCAAAACCACTATAATTCACAAGCCAGCAAAAAATGTCTATAGGCTGATGTGTTTTAGGATAATTAATTGTATATATCCACTGCATATCCTAACCTTTACTATTGATAGATGTTGTGAACATGTTCTTGCCAAGGCTTACTTTTTAAAGTGCTAATTTAGCCATTAAGACTTAAAATTCCAAATCCTCAAATCCCAAATGACCATAAAATATTTTTAAATCATAATGACACTAGACTTGGACAGTACTAATAAACTTATTTACTACTCTGTAAAAAATGTTTATCATAGTACCCCCTTCTGAAATTACCCCAGGGGGTATAAATGGTGATTTTAAGGATTTCCAGATTTTCTAGATTTTTGATATGTCTTTTAAATCATCAATATTCATTTGTTGCACTAAGGTTTAATTAGTATTGCAATTTATCTTTGATGTTTTTACTAGAGTATATCCATACAAATCCTCATTGAATTACTGTTTTTGTTGTGTTTTCAGAGGGAAGAAGCTTAAAGAGGGCAAACTCCCATTCTTCGCTTGTGGCATTAGCTCAGTGATCCACCCTGTAAGTAGTACAAGCATTTGCTGATTTTGAAATCCAAAATAGTATGGACTTTTTTCAAATTCATGAAAATAGAGAAAATTTGTTATTTTTATGTCACTACCTCAAGTGGTGACATAAAAATAATAATAAGTTGTGACATTTAATATAGTATTGTTATAGTCTCAGACTTTTTTTGTGGATGATGTTTGGCAGTTGCTTGGTGGTTAGCATTCAGCGGTTGGCATTCAGAATCTGTAGCAAATGGCAGGTGGTGATATTTTGCGTGTAAATGCCTTGGTTCATAATTTGATTGTTTTAAAAACCTCTCCTCATATTTGTGAAAATAGGAGAAACTAGAGATAGTTATTGCTTCAGAAATATTTTTATGAGGACGACATTTTGAATAGTTTTAAATCTCCGAAAAAACCTTATCAAGATCTCTTTGCACAAGAGTCTAAAATTACTTAATTAATTTAGATGTAAGTAATGTAATTAAACACATATGTCAAGTAAACACTCACATATAACACATTCACATGTTTTGTATTTTTACAGAGAAATCCCAACTGCCCAACAGTACACTTCAACTACCGCTACTTCGAAGTAACAGAAGAAGATGGAAACAAACAATGGTGGTTTGGTGGAGGAACAGATCTTACACCATGTTACATAGAGGAACAAGTAAGAATTTGTTCTTCATAAGAAACAAGGAATTCACTCGGAAGTAGTCGTGTCACTCTACCTGTATTCACAAGACATGTCACTCGAGCGAATCCTTGGCCAAAAATTCTTTCTAAATCATGCTTTTTCAATATTTTGAGCACTTTTCAAGTTGTTTTGGGCGAGAGTTGTCCAATGTCAACCCCCCTGGAAATTGTTCAAAAGTGAAGCCCCTAAGCAAAGGCTTACTATTGGGTGGGCTTCATTCAACTCAAATCTTTATTTTTAGGACATAGTCCACTTTCACAAGACATACAAAACTGCCTGTGACAAACATGACAAAAGTTACTACCAGAAGTTCAAAACTTGGTGTGATGATTACTTCTATATAAAACACAGAGGTACGATTAATTGAATTTGTATTTCATAAAATTCAAAACCTTCATGTGTATGATTGTAAAACAGAGAATTCAAGAACATCAAGAACATCAAGAGATAATTTCAACTTGGATCATCTTTTGAATGACATCATAGTATACCGTCGTCAAAGTAGCAAGATGCTAACATCAACATTCTTGTCCCAACTGACTCTTTTAAAATTTTGTTATTATGGAGACAACCTTTCTCTGAAATAATCAAAGGAAATTTTTTCCATATGTTTACAATGATTAAATTCTAAAATAAAATTCTACTACACACAGATATGGGAATACTGAATAAGGAAAAACAATTTGTACAATACATGTTCAAATTTATATCTAATTGCAGAGAAAACCTGCTACTGTGCCTCTCTTTTTCCCTTTCACAGTACAGTAGTATTATTTTTTTTAACTTGCATTTGAAGAACGTTTGATATATCTGATTTTTATGGTTTTACAGGAGAAAGAAGAGGAGTCGGAGGAATATTTTTTGATGATTTAGACACTCCATCTCAAAATGAGGCTTTCAATTTTGTGAAAAGCTGCGCAGAATCTGTTGTCCCATCCTATGAACCAATCGTCAAGAGGAACATGAACAAAGGATATGGTTATGCTGATAGGTGGGTCATACATACCTCCTCTGCCATTGCATGATGGGAATTGTAAAGATCAATCTTTTAAAATAGTGCATTATGTTCATCAGTAAAGCTGCATCACATTGATAGATGGCATACCAGATGTTTCTATTGAAATATGAGAGTTAAAAATGAAAATAAGAAATATAACATAAGACATAAAAGTGTGATATTTATGAAAATAAAATGAAATAATGTGTCTCAAAATATGGAATATGATTGTCTAAAATTAATAAATATGGCATTCAAAATATTCCCACTGCCAAGTGATGTAGATTGTACATTCGTTGGAATTGTTTCAAAGATGAAACAGTGAAAGTGGCATTTAACATGTAGGCCTTCATGTATCCTAAATGTTGTTTCAGACAATGGCAGCTTCTAAGACGTGGTCGTTATGTAGAGTTTAACCTTGTCTATGATAGAGGTACAAAGTTTGGTCTTCTTACTCCAGGGGCCAGAATAGAGAGCATTCTTATGTCTCTACCCACATATGCTGTAAGTTTAATACATGTACAGTAAAACCTGTATATAGTGAACACCTATTGAGTCACATAAAAGTGTTCACTGAAGTAAGTTATTCACTACATACAGGAGTCAATGTAGAATGTTTCTTGAAGTGGTGTTCACTAGACACAGGAGTTCTCTCAAGAGAGGTGTTCATTGAGACAGGTTTTACTGTAGATGATTACTGCGAAATTTGTCTTAGTGAATGCTTCCCTCTAGTGAACACCTGTGTCCAGCACATACTCCTGTATAAAATCGTCTCTCTGTGGTATGAACACCTACCTACAGTTCACACATTTTTGTGGTTCTATATAGGAGTTCACTGTTAAAAGGTTTAACTGTATTTGATAATTATCCCAACGAACGAAGTTCGGTAGGGATATAGTGAAGCCCTCCATCCGTCTGTCAGTCCGTCCGTCCATCCGGAAGATAACTCAAATACTAGTAGACGGATTTTCTTCATATTTAGTGGAAGATGTATATTGGTGAATAGTTTTACGCAAAAAAAATAAATAAATTTTTCATTCTAAACCAAAGTAATTAATATTATTATTTGAAATTTTGGTAGTATATTCACAACATTTATCTATTTCACATATATTCTGTGTTTTTCATCCTGACCCCCAGGGGCCTTGTATGGGGGGTCAGGAAAACTGAACTATAGCTTTATCATACTCAAATGAAAGGCAATTAAGAGTAGATTTCAAATATTGTATTTTTTTCTGATTCAAGCCTCGTTAAATTCAAAATGGCCGTCTAATGTACGATTTCACAATAATTTTTCGATCCCTTCAAAGTATGGCTATATTATACTCAAATTGAAGGAATTTTGGAGTAGATCACAATTATGGTATTATTTTTCAGATTTGTACCTCAGAAAATTCAAAATGGCTGCTTTGCAGGAATTCGCAATTCTAAAATCTAATTTTTTCAATTTTAACCAAAGTAATGAGTATAATTGATTGGAATTCGGTAATTGATATTTTGTTCGTTGGGATTTGCTACTCCGCGGAGTTGCCGTTATCTAGTTTGACATCATATGACCATATCTAGCTATATAGAGACTTGACTCAATTTTTGCTGAATTATGAAAAAAGATGGTTCCGACCATAAATAATGTAAGCTGTTAACTTGAATATCCTCAAATACAATGCTATCCTTTTCAAACTATGGAAAACTGTCTAAGTCACTTCCCCTCACTGTAACTCTCCATAAATACAACCCCTAATACATGGGCCACATTTGCTCCGATCCGTTCAATATTTTATTCAATTTTGGACAAAATACTCAAACAGCTGGGCGCCGTAGTGAAAATCTGAGCAAATGTGACCAAGGCATATCTTAATGTTTGATTGAATACTGTTAAATATTTTCATCAAAATTGTTAATTTTCTGATTATTTCAGAAATGGGAGTACAAACATTCCCCTAAAGATGGCACTAGAGAGGCTGAACTGCTAGAAGTATTAAAGAAACCTAAAGATTGGCTGAAGGAATAAGATTAAGGCAAGTAATGGACTATACAATATTGAATAAGATTAAGGCAAGTAATGGACTATACAATATTGAATAAGATTAAGGCAAGTAATGGACTATACAATATTGAATAAGATTAAGGCAAGTAATGGACTATACAATATTGAATAAGATTAAGGCAAGTAATGGACTATACAATATTGAATAAGATTAAGGCAAGTAATGGACTATACAATATTGAATAAGATTAAGGCAAGTAATGGACTATACAATATTGAATAAGATTAAGGCAAGTAAATGACTATACGATATTGAATAAGATTAAGGCAAGTAATGGACTATACAATATTGGCTTCCTAGTCAACTCGTACCCAGGACAACTCGTACCCAAGACAACTTGTACCCAAGACAACTCGTACCCAAGACAACTCGTACCCAAGTTTATTTTCAGTATTATGGGTGCATATTAGGAAAACAAATTGAGTCCGTTTAATAATGTTTTATTGTTATTATATGAATCAAACAAGCCTCAATATTTTTTCTGAATTAAGAAGACATTTTTTCTGAATGGATTAAGCAAAGCATTTTTTTTAATTTGGATCCCTTTTTAAAATAAAAGAAGTGCTTTGAAGGGCTTGTTCTCAACTTTTTTTTGTCAGACATATATATAAATGAATATAATTACAACAGTAACTTTTCTACAAATGAATTAAACAATTAATTTAGCTAAGGGCATTTAGATAAAGTTAATAACGGAAGTTTAATCTGTTAATTTCTTTTCCATTTTGAACTTAATTGGATTATATTTGAGCACATGTATACAAAGTGTATTATATCATGTATGAATAATATATAACAAAAATACCTCTAATATTTTGAACAATGATTATGAATATGTGGAATAAACATAGGTCTCTTCCTTCAAACATCCTGAATCTGTGACCAATATAAAATAATAGTCAAAATAGATTGACACTTAATTTTTCAAAGCTCAAAATGTCACAGAATTTAATAGATTTCTTCCAAAAACTCTTCTGCATACTTCAAACTATTCTGAACTGTATGTAACAATTATAAGATGTATATCTATACCCATTCCTATTCCAACACTTGATTAAAAACAAAACATAAACTTGGGTACGAGTTGTCTTGGGTACGAGTTGTCTTGGGTACGACTTGACTTGGGTACGAGTTGTCTTGGGTACGACTTGACCAGTTACCCAATATTGAATAAGATTAAGGCAAGTAATGGACTATACAATATTGCCATAAAGTATCATGTCACAACCAGAAGAACCAACATATTGTCATAGTCTTCAACTTTTTTGTGGGTGTTGTTTGGTGTCTGACAGTTGGTGTTTGTAACAAATGGCAGGTGGTGACATTTTGCTTGTAATGCCTTGTTAAATTTTAGGCAACTTTATATGGACAAATTGGACATGATTAATATCAAAATGAGAGGTGTTAAGATTAGAGAAGTGTTTGGATATATGGGCTTATGTCTTAAAGTAATGTTTTTAATATCCTTGTATTTCCAGATAGACCTAGCTAGGACCTGCTCATGCACGTGCAACATATAAATAAATGAAGAACAAGCCAGTCATGAATACTAGAATTTACAACAACAAAATGAAATTATAGTGCAATTTATATTCACAGTTACGGACATAATGTTATTGATATCATCAATTTATTCGCAGAGATCCTTCGAAATAATTATCCCGAAGTATGGTGTCCACCGAGCAACATGATTGATTAAAACCAAGTACTGTTTGGACCTTGGCTCAATAGTTACTTTTTTTATTTTTGATGTGTCACTGACACTATGATAATTTGGAATCAAAATACTCCAATGTGGTGCCAATTATGACGTTTATTGTTATTTGTAAATAATATATATAAGTCAAAATGAAGTCAGACCAAGTAGTCATTTCATAATATAAAACTGAATACTGAAACATAATGTATCTGTTTAATGTTTCTGCCTATTAAAGGGGTGAAGCCAGGCCCGTAGCCAGGGGGGGGGGTTGATGGGTTCGAGCCAACCCCCCTGGCCAAAATCTTTTTCAAAATTATGCAATTTTCACCATTCTGATCACCTTTTCAGTGATTTTGGCCATTTTTGGACCAAAATTGCCAAAAGTGAACCCCCTGGAATTTTAGTGAACCCTTTTTAAGAAAATCTATTGGAGGAATGATGTGACAAATGTTGTTACTGCACAGAATGAGAATAGAGATAACAGTGTAATTAATTTCATACAAACCTTTATTTATTGAATATCATTTTCTTAAGCATAAAGTGGTATACATGTACATTGTACATACAGAGAAAGCCAAATCAAGAATTGAAAATCTTGATCGATTAGGTTCAAATGTAAAAGTTTTTCTCATGACTCAATGTTATTTTACCATATTTTCACCATTTTTGACAAAACAGTAAAAGTAGTGAAGAATAATTTCAAATTAATGAAACTTCATTCTTACCATGGTAATGACATAAAATATGAGACAAAGCATAGATACACTTAGCGAAAATATACATGTATATGTTGTTAGCTCACATGGTGAGCTTTTGCAATCGCTCACTTGTCCGTCTGTCCGTCCGTCCGTCCGTCCGTCCATCCGTCCGTCCGTCCGTCTGTCTGTCTGTCCGTCAACAATAGTGGCACGTTTTAAAACCTCTGTCGTTAGGATTCCTGTTTTAAGTTATTTCTGTTCAACATCAATACAGAAAACTCCCTATGACTCCTGGTTCAAAAGCTTGCCTATTTTCAAAATGGCGAAATTCACTTTTGACTGGCACGTTTTAAAACCTCTGTCGATAGGATTCCTGTTTTAAGTTACTTCTGTTCAACATCAATACAGAAAACTCCCCTATGACTCCTGTTTCAAAAGCTCGCCTATTTTCAAAATGGCTGCCATTTTTGTCTCGTGAAATTCACTTTTGACCCATTTCCTAGCTTTACAAATAATTTCAGGTGTCCTACATTGTAAAAATCTGTGTCAATGTAAAGAGTAGATATATGAAATAATTTTGTTACATAAAATCAGCGAAAAATTATATCTATTTTTTTATTTTTAGCCATTTTAGTTAACATTGATTTGTCCATCTGACTTGTGAAATCCACTTTTCCGTCAACAACTGTGGCACGTTTGAAAACCTCTGTCGATAGGATTCCTGTTTTAAGTTATTTCTGTTCAACATCAATACAGAAAACTCCTCTTTGACTCCTGGCTCAAAAGCTCGCCTATTTTCAAAATGGCCACCATTTTTGTCTCGCGAAATTCACTTTTGACCTATTTCCTAGCTTTACAAATAATTTCAAGTGTCCTACATTGTAAAAATCCATGTCAATGTAAAGAGTAGATGCATGAAATAATTTTGTTACAAAAATCGGCAAAATATTATATCAGTTTTTTTATTTTCAGCCATTTTAGTTAACATTGATTCATCCATCTGTCTCTCAGTCAGTCCAAAAAAGTGGCAAGTTTTAAACCTCTGTCAACACTTTTTAAATCCTCTGTAGATAGGATTCCCGATTTAAAATAATTTTGTTCAACATCAATAAAGAAAAAAAACCTCTTGACTCCTGCTTCAAAATCTCGCCTAATTTCAAAATGGCCACCATTTTTGTCTCGGGAAATTCACTTTTGGCCCATTTCTTAGCTTTACAAATAAGTTCAGGTGTCCTGCATTGTAAAAAGCCATGTCTTTGTAAAGAGTAGTTGTATGAAATAATTTTGTCACAAAAAATCTGCAAAAAATTATACCCGTCTTTTTTATTTTCACTTTTGAGCAACACCATGTGAGCCCAGTACCCATGGTACTAATTTTTTTTATAAGCAGGTGGTGTCACTTATCAATTTCATCATAAACACGTGGCTTTTTAAGATGCAAGATGGCTATATCTGGTATTGGTAAAAATGGCTGATATCAGTTAGTCTTATGAGAAAATGTATATTAGTATATATATTCAAAATTTCATACCATACCCGATAGCTTCTTTAGTATCCTTAAGCCTATAGTCCTATACATTTCATTGTATTATACAATTGTTTTCCTGGGGTATGATACTTTAATCAATGAAAAGATAATCCTATATAACTCAAATTGAGTATGATACACGGTTCTTCAATGCAATTTTAAGATACAATCACCGAAAAATGACATTGTCCGGTTGAAACCATACTGTGTTGTGATTATTTCACTCTTTTACCAATAATGTCACTACTCAGTTCATTATGAAACCACAATGCACTGTAAAATAATATATCTGACCGCTTGGTCAAATACTCTGAGTAAATGCACTGACATATTCTAAGCTGATTGGCTGAAGCACACTTGGCATATTTGAATCTATGTTAAAGCAATTATTTTTCTTGTCAATTTACAAAGGTTTCTTAAAGCTAATGCTATGTTGGATGTATTGCGTAAATATGACAACTATGTTTTGCATGTCAGGGTCATACAGGGTGGGCCAAAAAAGTAACCCAAACAAATATTAATAACTCAGCCATTCAGCATGGATTTAAAATCATATTTGGTGAAATGAAACCTTGTTTAATGTTCCTTCGTTCTCCTAAGTTTTATTGGTCTAACCCTAATGGTTACGATTTTATAGCCATTTTACAAAACATGCTAAGTTGTACACTCAACGAGCACAGACATCTTGTGTAATGGCTCACATCTTCTTTCTTATAATTATCTCTTGTTATAATGTTTTCAATCAATTCAATTTCAAAATAATTTATTTCAGTTTTCATTACAAAAATTACAACATTATACAGGCTATGACACCCCAGGGGGTATATGACTGCCCATAATTAAATTTACAATAAACATGATAAACTGTGAACATTTAAAGTGGTACATAGGTCAATACAATAATATAATATAAATACAATATACAAATACAATAATATGAGACAATAAAGAAATGAAATAAATGTTTTTGTTACTCTGTACTAAGGAGGTCAATTTTCAAAAGAGATATGAGTGAATTTAATGGTTTATTTCAAATATCTTCATTGAGGGAATTCCATATATATGAACCATGGACCTTAATAGAATTGTCACCAATTCTGGTTCTATGTTTAGGAATATCTAAGTTATGACCAAATCGAGTTATACGTTGATGTATGTTTTCTCTAGTTTTGAAATAGTGATCGTATAATTTTGAAGGGAACTGTACAGATTTGCTTATAACTTTTTTCATGAATGAAACAGTTTGGATTGTGTGAATATGATAAATATTAAGTATTTTAAGATCTTGAAAAATTGGGAATGTGTGAGCTAATCTATCTGAATTTGTTATTAATCTAACAAATTTCTTTTGCAATATCAGTAGTTTATTTAATAGATTCTTACAAGCATTTCCCCATAAAATATTACAGTAATTAAGATGAGAAAAAATCAGAGAGTTATATATTATCATCTTTGAATTTAAAGTATGAGCATAATTTGTTCGATATAACATTCCTATAACATTTCAAACTTTTCTATGAAGAGCATTGATATGGGGAGCCCAAGATAATTTTGAATCAATAATTACTCCCAGGAATCCTATCTCATCTACTTTTTCAAGGTTAGAATTTGCAATTTTTATTTCATTGTTCACAGATATATTTCTTTTATTTCCAAAGACCATGTATTTTGTTTTCTTAACATTTAAAGTGAGTTTATTGGCCAACAACCAATCATTGATGTCACACAGTTCAGAATTTACGGTTGTGGTCAAATTATCAAGATTGGAATCACTACATAATATATTAGTGTCATCCGCATAAATCACCAGTTTGAGTTTATCAGAAACTAGATAGAAATCATTTACAAATATGATAAATAGGAGGGGGCCTAGAACAGACCCTTGGGGTACTCCACAGTTAACGATTGCTTCTTCAGACAAATATTTCTTGGATAAACTTTTAGAGTATTCAGTTTTCATTTTTCGATTTGATAAATAAGATGAAAACCATGAAAGTGCAATTCCTCTTATACCATAATGTTCCATTAGGGTTGTTTTTTTGAGGGTTGTTAGAGTAAATATTAGCGCCAAAGATAAAAACCTGGGGTATTTCATGTCTGGTTTGTGTAGCCTATATCTGTATATTGGCATTTGGAGCATGTTTTGTAAATGTTCATGGAATTGTCGGAGGAAATTTTTATTTTTATCATTTTCAGAAGGAAGGAGGTCGATTTGTATCCAAATATTTTACCCACGTGTTGATAGTAACATCTGGTTACTGAAAATCTGGTCAGTCAAATAGTCAGCCACTGTAGCAAATATATCCAGCAGCTCCAATGATTGAGTGAGAATTCCTCATTTACATATGTAGGCAACCAGAACGTTATTTAGTGAATTTTATAAAGCTTGGTTACGATGTGTTATAGTGTATTCATGTCCTGGTTGCTGGGGGTGAAAATTCTCACTCGATTATTGGAGCCCTTGGATTTATATACTCTCGACTGATTCGCTTTTCAGTAACCGAGTGTTACTATTAACATACGGGTAAAATATTTTGATACAAATCTACCCCTTATTGGTGAAAATAAAAATTTCCTCCGGCGGAAGTTCAACCATTTTGTTTATAACCAGGTTGGGACCAGTGCCCATAAAACTTGGTAGAATGAAGGAATATTGAACACGGTTTAATTGTGCTAAATATAACTTTAAAACCCATGATGAATGACTGAGTTATTAACATACGTTTGTTTGGTTACCTTTTTTGGCTAACCCTGTATTAATGTTTTTGAATATTTACATATACGCAAAATAGTATAGCATATTCTGTTGTCTGTTTCTTTACTAGGCTATATATGAAAAAGCTACTAATCTTATACATTACATCAGTTTTAAGAACCAGAGTCTGTTTGAAACCCATATTTTACTTTGAAGTAGCCAGGCACGAGGCAGGCGAGGCAAATTTACCAATATTTTTGTCGTCTTGGGTATACTCTTAGTTCAGTAGTCGTAGTATTTGTAGTGTACCCCACTTACAGCAAATCTGAGCACCACAGCAATAACATAGACAATAATTCCAATGACCAAACCAGTAATATTTAGGTTTCTCGCAGTGGTACTTTTCTCCCGAGCTTTATCCATGTCTCCTTCCTGTGCATAATCTCTTGAGTGAATAGATGTCACAATGGCTGCAATACCTGAAATATGGTCAAAGTTAGAATTACATGTAATGATTTTCTCAAATTGACAGGTCAACTAAGGAGTTTCATGATGAATACTCCCCCACCGCAACCAATCAAATATTTTGTATTCGAATCACTGCCATGTTTAAACGTAAACCATGGTATACCATGGTCTATCATGATCGGCAATGAAATTACCATCAACTCTGACCATGGTGGCAATGATGTTTTTTGGTCAATTTTTGACCATGGTATACCATGGTATATCATGTTATACCATGTTTCATGGTATTGCATGTTCAAAGTTAACCATCAAATACCATGGTATTATCATGGTATTTCATTGCCATGTTCCTGACCATCATTTACCATGGTATTACCATGGTATATCATGGCTGATTGCATTTCATGGCATTTCATTGTAAGATGTGACAATCAAATACCATGATATTTCAATGCCATGTTCCTGACCATAATTTACCATGGTATATCATGGTTGATGGCATCTGATTATAAGATGTGACAATCAAATACCATGGTCATACCATGGTATTTCATTGCCATGTTCCTGACCATCATTTACCATGGTATTGTATATCATGGTTGATGGTATTTTATTGCACGATGTGACAATCAAAATGCCATGGTCATACCATGATATTTTATTGTTATGTACCTGACCATAATTTACCATGGTATTACCATGGCATATTATTGTTGATGACATTTCATGGCATTTAATTGTACTGTGTGACAATCAATTACCATGGTCATACCATGTCATTTCATTGGCAAAATCATAACTCTCATTTGGCTTTGTATAAAAAACCTCCCACCCACGTACCCTCGTACCCACGTACGTGGGTCCTGACCCAGTCTTTAAAGAGTTAAATCTTTAACATTTTTTAAACATTATTCTATCTCAATGTATGCTTAATTATGGATGAATTTATGTACCCTTACGCCTTTATTTCTAGATCGGACATCTGTCTCGTCATAAAATAAAGCCGGCATTGCATAATGTTCATTTGAGCTATTTGAGGTATGAGGTTCCATATCCATCCGCCAAAAGGTATGACCCCTATATAGTCCATTTAAAAACCTGTAGTATTGTTCTAAATAACGCCATAGTTGGCTACTAGGGTACCTAGTATGCCACTATTTGGTATCAAAATAAAGAGGAGGAGTTCAACTTTCATTTGAATTACGAAAATAGCGATGTAGGTCAAAAATAGTTCCGACGTGAGCATGTTTACTACGGGTTAACCCAACCAATTGTTATAACATGCGTATTCCCATACAAACGATCTGTCTTCCAGAGAAAACTAAGATTTGTGGACATGTTTTGCTATCATGCCATCATACCCCAGTATGTCCTCTGTCAGTCAAAAAAGTTTGAATCAAAACTCCCCACGAAAATCAAAAGATCTCACCTGTTGAAGACGCCATCTATAGAAAATGTCAAAAAATGTCATTCTGATTTTGACAGATGGAGGCAGGTCAAAAAGGTCAAATTTTTTAAAGAAAATGCACCTTAATCACATCAAATCATGTCTTAGAGTTGGTCCATACATACACTTTTTCATTCATGTACTTACCAAAATCCAACCACTGGTCATGCTAATGTAATTACAATAATTGGACTATATTTTTGTTTTTATAATGCCATCTATTCGTCTTCCCACTCGGCGGAAGGATCTAATGGTAGTGTGTCTCCTACGCGTTTGCCCATCATCTCAGAATTGAGGAAATGGTAGCAAACGCGAGTTACAATAAATGGACGCTGATATCTCAAAAAGTAACCTGACTCCCTATAATTTGATGTAGATCAATCGAACCCCTATATGAACAGGTACATTTTGATATATAACACTATGGGGGTAAGCGTTTTAAAGTTGATCACGAACGCCATATGTGCAAAGTATTGATATGAATTTTCGAATTTGGTGTTGGATTACGGTACTCATACCCTAATCAGCACTGATGTGTTATACAGGTAAGACTGCCCGATCAACAAAAAACATTTCGACAAACATAAATCAAATAGCTCAAAAATAATGAACATTTATGCAATTCCGGCTTTATTTTATTTTACTAGAGAGATGTTAGACCTATAAATAAAGGCATATGGATGCATAAATTCATCTATAATTCAGGATAAACTGAGATTGAATAATGTTTTAAACATTTAAAAATTTAACTCTTTAAAGACTGGGTCGGGACCCACGTACGTGGGTACGAGGGTACGTGGGTAGGAGGTTTTTTATACAAAGCCCTCTCATTTATTATGGTTTTATCATTGCATTTCATGGTTGGTGGTATTTCATGGCATTTTATTGTCAAACCTGACCATCAAATACTATGGTCATACCATGGTATTTCATTGCCATAATCATTACTATCATTTATCATGGCATATCATTGCATTTCGTGGTTGATTGTATTTCTTAGCATTTCATTGTCAAACCTGACCATCAAATACCATCGTTATACCATGATGTTTCATTGCCAAAAGAACTCTAGAAGAGTGTCAAGTCTAAAATTGGTCAGAGTTGAAATGGATCATGAAATGCAATGAAATACCACGTTTAACAATGAAATGCAATGAAACACGATGATTGATCATGATATGCAATGAAATGCAATGGTCTTTCTTGCAATGCAATGAAATACAATGAAAGACCATGTTCAAAAAGTATTTTTTACATGAAATATCTTCATTAATAACCAAATTATTATAATTAGTGATTCTGATATTCATCAAAATCACAACTTTATATACTTTTGTTCCTTTATTTAATAAATTAATTTCTATTATGAATAATTAAGTAAATAACCCTAGAAACAATTTTTTTGTTAAACAAATATGCTTTACTTTTATTTGACTGTTGGCAGTAAAATGGGAGATCAACTTCATATTTTGTAAGTTCAACCTCCAGTCTTCAATTAAACATCTTGACTGCACTTCATTGCATTTGATGGTTTGCAACCATGAAATATATTGCATTTGATGGTTTGCAACCATGAAATACTGCAAAATAGCAGTATTTTTAAATGCAAAATTTTAGGTATAGTGACCATGGTATACCATGGTAGATCATGATAATTAAACTGCTCCATTGCATATCATGGTTGAATGTTTAGACCATGATATCACTGCATTTGATGGTATTTGGCCATGAAATACTGTGAAACGGTGGTATTTTTTAGATACAAAATTACATGTTAATTGACCATGGTATACCATGGTATATCATGATCGTTAAATGGCACCATTGCATTTCATGGTCAGGAGCGCTTTTTAACATGGAGTTTCCAATTGAAAAAATACTGCCGTTTCACAGTATTTCATGATGAGAAACCATCAAATGCAATGATATCACGGTCAAAAAACCATCAAATGCAATGATATCATGGTCGAGAACTTGACCATGATATCATTGCATTTGATGGTTTCTGACCCTGAAATACTGCGAAACGGCAGTATTATTTCAAAAGCGTTTTAAAAAGCGTTCCTGACCATGAAATGCAATGGTGCCATTTAACGATCATGATCGGCCATGGTATTACCATGGTATTTCATTGCATTTCATGGCCATATACCATGGTATACCATACATGGTATACCATGGTATGGCCATGGTCCATTTCAACATGGAGGTCCCAACCTGGTTATAAAGACGTTAAAGACGTTACGTTTTTGTTACAAAATTGATGAACTTTCATTGGAAATTCCATTGTGTAAACTTTTTATCGCACTTTGAAAAAGTGCTATATTGTCATCGTCTTGTGCTGTTGGGCGGGCGTTTGGGCGTGCGGGCGGGCAGAACATAAACTAAATCTTGTCATCAAATTTCCAGGATAACTGCTTACCTGTTCAACTTGAAATTTTTACAGATGCAAGAGCAGACTAGTACCAAGATCTGATTAGGTTAAGGGCATGCTGGGTAAACTATGTGGCGGCCATTTTGAATTTTTCAACAAATCTTGTCATCAAAATTCCAGGAAAACCACTTATCCGTTCAACTTGAAATTTTTACAGATGCAAGAGCAGACTATTGCCAAGATCTGATTAGGTTTTGGGTATGCTGGCTGAATTACATGGTGGCCATTTAGAATTTTTTAATTTGGCGGCCATTTTGAATTTTTCAACTTGCTCCAAATTGACCAAATCTTTTTTTTAAAAACATCTACAAGTTCTCAGAAGTTCAAATCTGACCTTATATTTCAGATTTCACCTTTCATTCACCTTCAGTGACCTTGAAAAGGTCAAAAAAGTTGATTTTCTAAATTGATATTTTGGATTTAAATTTAGTTCAGCTTAATTACAAAACACCTACTGAGGTCTGAAAAAGTGAAATTTTAAAGGTCGAAAGTCAAGGTCATTAAACTAGGTCACAAATGATGTTATCCAAGTTTCTCAAAGTTTGAGACTACAAATCAATTCTTGTCATCAAAATTCCAAGAAAACCGCTAACCTGTTCAACTTGAAATTTTTACACATGCAATAGCAGACTAGTGCCAAGATCTGATTAGGTTAAGGGCATGCTGGGTAAACTACGTGGTGGCCATTTTGAATTTTTCAACAAATCTTGTCATCAAAATTCCAGGAAAACCACTTATCCGTTCAACTTGAAATTTTTACAGATGCAAGAACAGACTATTGCCAAGATCTGATTAGGTTTGGGCTATGCTGGCTGAATTACATGGTGGCCATTTTGAATTTTTCAATTTGGCGGCCATTTTGAATTTTTCAACTTGCTCCAAATTGACCAAATTTTTTTTAAAAACATCTACAAGTTCTCAGAAGTTCAAATCTGACCTTAGATTTCAGATTTGACCTTTTGTTGACCTTCAGTGGCCTTGAAAAGGTCAAAAATTTGATTTTCTAAATTGATATTTTGGATTTAAATTTAGGTCAGCTAATTACAAAAGACCTACTGAGGTCTGAAAAAGTGAAATTTTCAAGGTCGAAGGTCATCAAATTAGGTCACAAACAATGTTATCTAAATTTTCCCAAAGTTCAAGACAACAAATAAATTCTTGTCATCAAAATTGCAGGAAAACCGCTAACCTTGTCAACTTGAAATGTTTACAGATGGAAGAGCAGACTAGTGCCAAGGTCTGATTAGGTTTTGGCCATGCTGGGTAAATTGCATGGTGGCCAGTTTGCTCTTCAAAGTGCGATATTTATCACTGTGTGTCTTGTTTATTTTTATTATTATCACCAACAAAGAGGTTGATTTGTTTCAAAATTTAGTCAAACATATCCAGCAGCTCCAATAATCAAGTGAGAATAACCTCACTCCAACAACCAGGGCGTTTAAATCTGGTGAATTTTATTATTTATTTAAAGTCTTGGTTGCGTTGTCTTAACGTCCTGGTTGCTAAAGCGAGAGGTTTCTCACTCGATTATTGGAGCCCTTTGATCTATATACCGATTCGCTTTTCAGTAACCTGATGCTAAGATGAAGAAATAAAATTTATTTCTTTATCCTAGCATAATGTTACTTTTGAAATATGGGTGAAATATTTGGACACAAATCGACCTCCTCGGTGAAAATGATGAAAATATAAATTTCCTCCGACGGAAATTCATCCATTTTGTTATGAAGATGTAACGTCTTTATAACCAGATGGGGACCAGTGCTAATGGTCAATAAACACAATCTGAGATAACCATATGTGCGTAAATATTTCTATTTTCAAATGCATTATATTAATCGAACACTATCATACACTGAGAACAATGCTATTATGTGAGATGAAACATCTAAGTACATTTACCAAGACAAAAGCAACAGCAAAATGTTGTGAGAATAGACCAGACAAGGTGGTCTGGTGGTGGCGGGGAATTCTGGGAGACAGCTATCTCTGTTTCGATTGGTTGAGTTGTGATGACAGCCTGGTTTGTCTGACCATATCCTGGGCCTTGTTTATGCGCTTGTCGTCCATATTGAGGCACTTGTTGAGCCGCTGGTTGGCCATATTGAGGCACTTGTTGAGCCGCTGGTTGGCCATATTGAGGCACTTGTTGAGCCGCTGGTTGGTCATACATGTACTGAGGGCCTGCTTGGCCATATTGAAACCCTTGCTGGGCCCCTGGTTGGCTATACCGAGGCCCTGGTTGGCCATATCGAGGCCCTTGCTGGGTCCCTGGTTGGTCATACATGTACTGAGGGCCTGCTTGGCCATATTGAAACCCTTGCTGGGCCCCTGGTTGGCCATATCGAGGCCCTGGTTGGCCATATCGAGGCCCTTGTTGAGCCCCTGGTTGGCCATACAGAAGCCCTGGTTGGACAGACAGAGGCCCTTGTTGACCATATTGCTGTTGAAGTGTAGATGATGTCCTAGAAGCCCCTCCCGTGCCGTATGGAGGAGGTATTTCCTCTCTACTGTCAATAGGCTCAGCCTCTTTGCGTGAGTCGTCTATTAATTGTATAGTATCCATCTGAAGTGGAATATATCAAGAACATATCATAAACAATAAGGAGATAATCAGGTACATATTTGCATATTACATGAATATTAAGCATTAGATGTGCAACGTTTCGACTAAGCCCCACAGTAATAATATTAAATATAACTTTTTCACTTGACAAATTCTAAATGGTATAAACATCAACTTTAAAAATGTGAATAGAATTAGTCTACCGTTCAATTTATATCTAAAGGAACCTTGTTTGTAAAATATAAACGGATCCTAGTTGACACAAAACGATTTTGTTGATTCAATATGACATGAACTTACAACATCAATAGAATTACATACACACAACGTTAACCCCGGGACTTTAACCTTTCCTGGAAATATAGCTAAAAATATCACCACTTTTAAAAGGGAACTTTACTTGCGATCAAGTATTTTCAAGATTTAATTAACAGATTAGACATTTTGAAATGTCAAAACAATTATTGCGAAAAAGATTTAGGTCCAAAAGTCGAGATCAAACAGCTCTGTTCACACTATAAAATGCATACAATCGTCTCCCTCATTTCAATTGTTTCAATGATTGGATATCCGATCAATTCTAATGATCATTTCAACCTTTAGACGTTTTAGTCGTTTAGCCTGAAAAAATTTGGTTAATTTAAGATCCCGCTCGGTCTACAACCGTCCCATACAAACACCTCCTTACCTTACTATGTCTGACAGTCTTGTACGAAATTCTTTTGCAACCCTAGCTTAAAATACGCACCCTATAGTAGCCAGGGTTTGGGAAAAATGTCTCCAGAACGTTTCTCTTTGTGAAAGAGGTCTGAATTTGTGAGATAAAACTATGGCCATCATGGCATCTTATGATCTTCAATAAGACTTAAAAAGGCATTTACATACAAAATGTCACTTCTTGCCATTTGTTACGTGCTCAAAAAGTTGGGACACCACAGCAAAATTTCACTACTCGTGGCGGTGACATAAAAACATTTAGGCCTTTCAAACCTATAAACTTACGTAAAGGCTAGAGTACCGACAATTGTCAAATCAATTGACAACTGAAAAATTTAAATTTCGGCTCTAGAAAATCTAGATCTACGTAGCAGTTGGACGGCACATTGCCTTAACCCATCAGCTTTATGACGTGCACTTCCGCGTGGGACTATATCTTTACAACGGGAATTTCAAGTTTTTGTCAGTGTAGACATAAAAAGTTGCGGTCCTCTTACTCGCGCAGTTTTTAATATTTTCATTTGAAACTTGCAGGAACGGTGCTTTGAATCTAGCTCTCTACTCTTTGAAAACCTCATGTAGAATCAAAACAGTTGAACTATTTATTTTTTGTCGTGAAAATATTATTTTTTTCGTTTATTTTTATTTTACAACTTTTTGGGAAAAAATGTAACAAATTTTTATTTCTTGTCATATTTATCCTATATTTTGTCATCATGAAATTCGAGATTCCTTTTAATGATGGTGTAAATTTCATAACAATTGATGAATTTTTATTATCAGTGTTATGTTTTCCAAAAACGGTGTACCACTGTGCATGTTTCTTTAATTGACGGCACATTTGCCTTTAATTGGGCGAACGTACAGGTCCCGACGCAATAAGCTTTATTTGATTTAATACACTCAAAAATAAAGTTTGCTATCAAATCAGAATATAAAACATAAACCTTGCCTTTGTTTTCCCAATTCTAAAAGCAGGCCAAATAAACTATGATAATCGTTTGACTCTCGAGACTACAGAACTTAAACTTGAACATACTAAAATCGAAGTTACCTATAGTTACGCTTGTAAAGTTAATTATATGTTTAACGGCGTGCTGAGTGAATGTATCTAATCAAATTTGTGACATACCCATAAGATCGTAGATCACAATTCTAAGTTTAAAATGTTTATTGGATTCGTAAGAAGTATTTCTGTTTTAAACTTACCTTTGCTGTCTGAAAAAGATCAATATTCATAGACGGGGATGTTGAAACCTATATTTCCTTTGAATGACCAGTCCTGCATTTGTACTACGAAATGATCCTGTGGAGAAAAGTTGATGAATTCCAAACAGCTAGTTCTAGCAAATCTACTAGTATAAGCTTACTTTCAAAAAGTATTTCAATATTAAAAATATCTATTGATATGTTTCATTTTTAAAATGATCTTTTGCTTCCCTTAACTTATATGTGTGACTTAATGATTTACCACATCAAACTTAAGACGTAAACTTGGCAATTACTCGATACATATTATAACGCGATTTTCTTACATTTTCTACAAAAATGGTATGTTTTCAAACGGTCACTTATGTTAATCTATGACCATGGTATGATTGAAAATGAAAGAACTGAACCAAGTATTGTCGACTCGGTTGAATCATAAGATTTATTTTGATTGATTAAATCTCTTCTTGAATTCAAAAACTTTTGTCTGAATTACATCTGCTATGGAATTAAAGTTCAAATATACCTCAGAATTGCTTATTGAATTAACCTAGCAATTAATTTGAAAATAATTCTTTACATAGGTTATATATCATAGATCATAGATACGTAAAAAATAAAAATGTGTTTTGAAAGATGAATTGGTAACAAACGTTTTCATACAAGTGCCATTCTTCACCTTCAGCCCACTTAAAGCACGAAATCCCGTATGACGTAATATAACGAAAATGCGCAGATAATTGATATTTTCCTTAATTTTAATTCACTCACATTGACCTTTCTTATTTAGAACGTGTTTAAAGTTTTCATGTTAAGAAAATAAATATGTGGAAAGGCAATGGTTTAATTAAAGCTTATGAAAATGTCAAAATCATAATTCAGTTTTTAAAATAAGATATTGACATGCATTCACGCACATGTGACATTATCTCTTTTTGTGCGATTCAAACATAAAAATCTCATTACAGTTATACATAAGAACCAATCTTAGCCATGCCTTTCTAATAGAAGGAACGAAATTTGAATCAAAAAATAATTCTGTGTAAAGATGATTCCCCATAGATATAACAAATGTCAAAAAAATTATCAAAAATTAAATACTCACACGCTTTTAAGCAAACTGACCTTTTCCAGTTTTGCTCATTTCATTTACCTTGAAAACCAAGGAGACCGAACGCAATTGCTATATACAACCTTGATACGTGTACCAAGTCTATAATTGCATTTTCTCATGGAAGGAACCAAGCAAAAATTATAAAAATAATTCTGCGTAGAGGTGATGCTTCACAAATAATATTAATGTCAAAAAATTAATTCATTTCTTCAAAATTAAATACTGACACGCATTTACGCACACATGACCTTTTCTAGTTTTGCTTATTTCATTTACCTTGAAAACCAAAGAGACTGGACGCAATTGCCAAATACTTCTTTGATACGCGTGCCAGGTCTATAATTGCATTTCCTCATGGAAGGAACCAAGCAAAAATTATTAAAATAATTCTATGTTAAGGTGATGCTTCACAAATAATACTAATGTCAAAACTTTAATTCATTTCTTCAAATCCAAATACTGACACGCTTTTACGCACACGTGACCTTTTCTCCTTTTGCTCATTTTATTTATCCTAAAAATCAGTGAGCCTAAATACATTGTCCGATACTTTTTTTAATACATGTCGGGTCTAAAATTGCAGTTTATCATGAAAGAAATCGAACAATTATTATAAAAATAATTATGTGTAAAGGTGATGTTCTTCAGATCATATAAACATCAAAATTGTAATTCATTTATTGAAAGTTTAATATCCACATGCTTTACCGCACACACAACCCTTTCCCCTTTTGTTCATTTCATCTATCTTAAAAATCAGTGAGCCTGAGCTCATTGCTAAATAATTTTTGATATGAGTCAGCTGCAGGTCTAAAATTGGATTTTATCATGGAACAAAACGAGCAATCATTATGAAAATAATTCTGTGTAAAGGTGATGTTCCAAAGACAATATATATGTCAATTTGATAATTCAGTTACTCAAAATGAAATATCCACATGCTTTTACGCACACATGATAATTTTCTGAATGACGCTACTTTTTGGATTCAGCCATGCATATAACGTCGTAAAATACACATTTCTACCGAAATTATTCCCAACCATTTTCGCAGAAAATGTAACAAATGAAGGCATTTTATCAGAACTGATTGATATTTGGTACTTATAAAATATCATATTTACTTTAACTTTTAAGCGATTCAGAAATTTAAAATAATGATGTTTAATCAATGTTAATTTCGCACGAATATAGGGTACAAAATGAGTGAAAGTCTTACGTGTTTGATTGCATTTTACTCCCATTCATGTGCATTTTTCTAACATTAAAATGAGATAGTTCGAAAGAAGAGATCAGTAGAATTCTATCCGTCACTTTCATTTTCAAATGTTTAAATGTTTACCATTTCAATGGACCTCATAAAGATGGTAGCCAACGGACCGGAAACAAGTAGTGCGATGACGTCATATATCGCTACACCACTTTGATATAAAGTTTGGTAAACAACAATGGGTTTTTTCAATGTGCCGTCCTACTGTAGGGGCCACTTGCGTACCGACATTATGTCGGTTCTCTATTTCGCCCAAATAGGGGAAGATCGAGTGACGACATATGTCGGTACCAAAGCAAATGCTCACAGGGCAGACATTTGTCGGTACGGGAGACAACAAACAACCGATAAACTAAAGAAAATGGCGTCAAACGAGGATCTTCATTCATTTTTATGTCAACATCAGAAAATTGTGATAGTCTGCAACTTTTATGCTCTGTGATGGGAGTTCTGCAGTCGGCATTCGGCATCTACACTTTTCGTTCAGCGTCTCTAACAATTTGCATTACTAGGGGGTGACATTTTACATGTTAATGTCTTGTTGTTTATTAAAGTACCAGTTATGCATTGTCTACAAGGTAACGACGACATTGCTCGATAGCCTAATCGAACCATTCGATGTGACCCTCCTTTTACTTGATGGCACTCCTTCGGCTTGTATCTTTGGTTGTTCCAAAGGGTCTACTCTTTAGGCCTATGATTGTTTGATGTCTTTTAAAATGATTTTCAGTAATCAAAGTAAACCTAAATTAATCATAGAGTTTGTTCGTGGTCAAGTTCGTTTGAATGAATCAATTGATGATTCGAGCAAGATTTGTCTTGAGCTGGTCTTATGCGAATCCTGGTGGCCGAATACTGCTGTCCACCGAGACGGCTAATATTACGAGGGACAATCTAAACGACGACATCGCCCCGAACTGGTCGGGGCGGACTGCGGCTCCGTAACTTTTCACCGCAGTACAGTGCCGAAATGAAGGGACATCCGGCAGTGCCTTGCACATCGGTAGACAAAACTGAGAAATCCAGGTATTTTATATGCATTTTAGTGTTTATTCAGTGACCCCGATATTACTCTATATCCAGTGTTGTATATCATATGTTGATAAGAAAATAAGACGTAGTCCAGATAAAGTTGAAACAGGAGCAAAATTTGTAAAACATTTACATATGATTCAACTTTACCATACATTTGAAAATATTTTCAACGAGTTTCTGAATATCTATTGTTTGTTTGAAACCCAAAAATTGTATAATTTGTGAGAATGATGTGATAATGGAATGTGTTCACTAGAAGAAAATTAGATTCAAAGTGCGCATTCACACTCACAGTGGATGTAGTCCAGTTAAAAAGGTTATTTCAACAACGCAACACAGCCTCCATTCGCAACGTAGTCCAGCTGCGAATCCCGCTGTGAATACACGAAAATGTCAGATGGTGTAAACTATATCCATGTTTTTATTGTTTCAGGAGATTTTCCTCCAGACTATCATTTTATTTTAAAGAGAAGTAAACCATACATTAGCCCAGCGCCATCTCATTTATCTTCTACAGTACTATCCAGACATCACTTCACCGAATAGATCAACCTTCTTCATCTCATATATTCACGCGGTACTAACTCTCCGGGGCGTATCGAAACCAAAACGCCCCGCAAAACAGAAATACCTTTCAGTCGAGACATTGCCTTTGTTTACATAGTCCCTCGTTTTGGCCCCGTTGTCTTCCAAAACGCCCCGCAGAGTCTATGACTACAAACGTGTATAGATAAGGTGTAGATCCAACGGGGCGTTTTGGAAGAGAACGGGGCGTTTTGATCAATTTCGAACAGATGCGTAGGACTTTTGGAAATTGGTGCGTTTAATGTAATTAATATGTTGATGCAGAGATGGAGGGTTTTTAGGGAGGGATTTTAGACATCTATAAAATCATTCGAATTTGAATAAAGGTAAATAATGGTGTAAATCAAAATTGTTTTGGTAGAAAATTACACACAGAATTCAAATATGCCATCAAATAGAAGAAAATGTTAGTCTTTAATGGTTAAAAATGAAGATCTCCAAAAATCTCATTAAAAACGAGACTTTAACGAGATTTCAAAGCTATATGGAAAAAGGACCATTGGTGAGATCATGTAATTCTTGATGATCTTCCCAATGCCGAATGCATCACACATTGTACAGGTGATCACTAAGTTCTGGGAATTTAACTGTCATTTCATTATTTTTCAACCAATTTATATGAAATTTTCGAGGTAAATGGGGAATGTAATTTTGGGTTGGATAAAACAGTTCCATTGTCACCCGATGTCACAATGGATAATTGTTGTTACTATAGCAACATGACCAATGGCGTAGCGGGTCAAGTGAAATAAAAATAAATTCAAATTTTGCTTGATCCAAAAGTATGGTTAATAAATACCTATTTGGTGGACATATTTCTGTGATTTTTCACATTTTCAAATACTTCTAACTTTATAACATCTGTATTGTTATATAAGAGTGTACTTTGCTCTATTTTCGTATCATTCATCAGCATCTCAGTCACAATCCTGACTCAAAATAGCAGGGAGTTATCTTCCATTATGATCCTTCCCATTCCTCAAGCTGCCCATACTACTCTTTAAGAATTAGGGTTCACACAAGATATCACTGCTCCATATTCACCAGACAATATTCACCAGATGAAGCACCATTAGGCTTCACTACATTTTTGGTGCTTAAGCATTATATGAGATGTCATAAGTTTGATTCCGATAAGGGACTGATTTCAACGGCTTGAACAAATCTTGAAGGAATACCAAAAGGGAGGACTGGAACACATCTTTATGGCCTATGATTGTCAACGACGCATGTGCGTCCAGACTAATGGAAACAATTATAAATGAAATGATTCTCTCAGCAATGAAGAATACTTCTGAATAAATGTGTTCAAGGGTACTGTTCTGCCTCTAGTACAAGTAGTTTGAAACAACAATCTAGGCAAGATGAATATGTTTTGGCAGGACATTTTCAGATTAACATCAGTCAAAATTTGCTGACCCGCGGACCACTTTTACTTTTTTTTGTAATTACAATAAAATAAATTATACAATGTACACCTGCTGAAATTTTCAACTCAAATGGTTGAGAAATCTTGAAATGGCAGACCAATTCCCAGAACTTAATGATCACCCTACCTAGTGTTGCATCATCACTGTAATCATGTGAAACATTATGTGACCTCATGATCCACACCTGAAAAAATTGAATATGTTTCCCGACCAGGAGAACGAATTACACAAACTAGTGCTTTTTACGTCCAGGGAATCTCTATTCAATAACTATTGAAAAATACGTTTTTCAAAGTCTGCACTATGTTAGTTGGAATATTTTCAATTAAATAAAAAGAACGATTACAGATTAAATCATGCATACCACTTTCTCTGTATATCTGTGTTGTTTTTAATCCTCAGTCCCGATTCTCTCGCATTTGAATATTGAATTCAATATTAAGTCGAAGTAAAATGTCACATTAACACCGATCTCATTTTTACCGTCTGACACTGTTTACATTCAATATTGTTGAGGAAACTGGGTTAATAAATTACAAAAATACGGCTTTAGTTTATTATATGGAAATATATAGTGCATTGTATCATGGGCTTTCAATAGATGAATCTTGAAAGCCCATGATTGTATAGATGATGAAAAATGAGCAAAGCACGTCTTTTAGATATTTTTATCGCGCCCTAAGGTGCTATTTTGTAATCAGTTTGCCGGGCGGTTGGGCGGGCGGTCGGGTGGGCGGGCGTCCCGAATAATCGTGTCTACAGGTTTCCAGCCGAACCGTTTGAGGGATTCATTTGAAATTCTCAGGGATGTTTCTACCTATGAAAATTTAGATCTGATTAGTTTTTCGGCATTCTGGGTAAATGTTAAGGCGGCCATTTTGGATTTTCCGTCCTAAAATCTTGTCTGTCAAGGCTTGTCTACAGGTTTCAAGCCAAACCGTTTGAGGGATTCATTTGAAATTCTCATAGTACTACGACCAAGGCGATTTGTGTCCACAACACCTAGATTCAATTTGACTTTAGATTCTTGTAGGGGACCCCAAGGCATGTAAAAACAAGTTTGTGAACCCTTGCAAAGCAGGCTCAAAAGTGCCGAGTCAGCAAATTTTATCATTTTAGAGTTGGAGTTTGACCATAAGCTTGAAACTATTTAATATCTCATTTGAGGATGTTGAAATTATAATGAAACATTGTTAATATATTAATAAGGCATGTATGAAGAATTCCTGAAAGTTTGGGCCTTATCCAACAGAATTTGGTAGAGATATGGGATAATTTGTCCCAAAAAGTACATAAGCTGTAAAAACATAAAGTGCTAGATGATGAATATATTTAGCATATTATGATGTCACATATAGTGTTGAGATTTATTTAGAATAACAAATTTTGCTATAATGATACACATTTTCTATTTGATCCTAGCAACAAGTTCAACAACTGAAGTGTAATGTGCCACGCCCCCTTTCTTGAATTTTTAGAGGAAGGTAGAGAGAAAAATCAGAAAAATAGATGCTTGTACTTTTAATTGAAACTTATGCAATATATCTTTGCTAACATCATCAGTGAAGTTTTTAATCAGGTTTTATACACCATAGGCCCCTACTGTCTTTTAAATGACTAATTAACTGATTAAGAAATTTTGAAGAGATATTATGTACTTTTTGGGACAAATTATCCCATGTCTCTACCAAATTCTGTTGGATAAGGCCCAAACTTTCAGGAATTCTTCATACATGCCTTATTATCCCAACGAACGAAGTTCGGTAGGGATATAGTGAAGCCCTCCGTCCGTCCGTCAGTCCGTCAGTCAGTCCGTCCGTCCGTCCGTCCGGAAGATAACTCAAATATTAGTTGACGGATTTTCTTCATATTTGGTGGAAAGATGTATATTGATGAAAAGTTTTTTTTCAAGATGGCCGCCGCTTTAAAAATGACGGGACTTTTTCGCAAAAATCATAAATTTTTCATTCTAAACCAAAGTAATTAATATTATTGTTTGAAATTTTGGTAGTATATTGGCAACATCTATCTATTTCACATATATTCCGTGTTTTTCATCCTGACCCCCAGGGGCCGTGTATGGGGGGTCGGGAAAACAGAAATTTTCGCTAATTTTTAGATCTTTCTGAAGTATAGCTTTATTATACTCAAATGAAAGGCAATTAAGAGTAGATTGCAAATATTGTATCTTTTTTCTGATTCGAGCCTCGTAAATTCAAAATGGCCGTCTAATGTACGATTTCGCAATAATTTTTCGATCCCTTCAAAGTATGGCTATATAATACTCAAATTGAAGGAATTTTGGAGTAGATCACAATTATGGTAATATTTTTCAGATTTGTACCTCAGAAAATTCAAAATGGATTTTTTCAAGATGGCCGCCGCTTTAAAAATGACGGGACTTTTTCGCAAAAATCATAAATTTTTCATTCTAAACCAAAGTAATTAATATTATCGTTTGAAATTTTGGTAGTATATTCGCAACATCTATCTATTCCACATATATTCAGTGTTTTTCATTCTGACCCCCAGGGGCCGTGTATGGGGGTCAGGAAAACAGAAATTTTCGCTAATTTTTAGATCTTTCTGAAGTATAGCTTTATGATACTCAAATCAAAGGCAATTAAGAGTAGATTGCAAATAGTGTATCTTTTTTTCTGATTCGAGCCTCGTAAAATTCAAAATGGCCGTCTAATGTACGATTTCGCAATTATTTTTCGATCCCTTCAACGTATGGCTATATAATACTCAAATTGAAGGAATTTTGGAGTAGATCACAATTATGGTATTATTTTTCAGATTTGTACCTCAGAAAATTCAAAATGGCTGCTTTGCAGGAATTCGCAATTCTAAAATCTAAATTTTTCAATTTTAACCAAAGTAATGAGTATAATTGATTGGAATTCGGTAATTGATATTTTGTTCGTTGGGATTTGCTACTCCGCGGAGTTGCCATCATCTAGTTGATATATTAACAATGTTTCATTATAATTGCAACATCCTCAAATGAGATATTAAATAGTTTCAAGCATATGGTCAAACTCTGACTCGAAAATGCTGACTCAGCACTCTTGAGCCTGCTTTGCAAGGGTCCACAAACCTTTTTTACATGCCTTGGGGTCCCTAACAGGAATCTAAAGTCAAATTGAATCTAGGTGTTTTGGACACAAATCGCCTTGGCCGTAGTACTATCAGGGATGTTTCTACCTATGAAAGTTTAGAACTGATTAGTTTTTCGGCATTCTGGGTAAATGTTAAGGCGGCCATTTTGGATTTTCCGTCCTAAAATCGTGTCTGTCAAGGCTTGTCTACAGGTTTTCAGCCAAACCGTTTGAGGGATTCATTTGAAATTCTCAGGGATGTTTCTACCTATGAAAGTTTAGAACTGATTAGTTTCGGCATTCTGGGTAAATGTTAAGGCGGCCATTTTGTATTTTTCGTCCTAAAATCTTGTCTGTCAAGGCTTGTCTACAGGTTTCCAGCCAAGCCATTTGAGGGATTCATTTGAAATTCTCAGGGATGTTTTTACCTATGAAGGTTTAGAACTGATTAGTTTTTCGACATTCTGGATAAATGTTAAGACGGCATTTTGGATTTTCCGTCCTAAAATCTTGTCTGTCAAGGCTTGTCTACAGGTTTCCAGCCAAACCGTTTGAGGGATTCATTTGAAATTCACAGGGATGTTTCTACCTATAAAGGTTTAGAACTGATTAGTTTTTCGGCATTCTTGGTTAATGTTAAGGTGGCCATTTTGCATTTTTCGTCCTAAAATCGTGTCTGTGAAGGCTTGTTTTAAAAAATAAAAAAGAATTTCCCATTGAGAGCAATGTCAAATTAAAACATTTTTTTAGAAAAATCACTAAACGGTCAATCTTTCCAATTTTCACATATTTTGTAATACATCAGTATATCTTTTACCAGGATTTTTTTCAGGAAAATCTGAATTGTAGAAAAAAAGCTGATACACTGTGAAGTAATACCTTAAAACGTGTCTCTTGAGGGTTGTTTACAGGTTTCATGGATTCATCCTAAAATTTTAGAGATGTTTCTATGGAAAGTTTAGAACTGATTAGTTTTTAGGCAGTCTGGGTAAATGTTAAGGTGGCCATTTTGAATTTTCCATCCCGAAAAGTGTATTCTGTTCAAGGGTGCGATTCTGTTCATATCTTGTTGATATCTCGGTGATACTTAGAGTTGAATATTTATGAAAAAGCTTGATTTGGTAATGGTCCCTTATAGTATGTTTAAAGCCCATAGTCCCTGATCGGGTCCCTCTGAAAACAAGTTTTGTTGTCCGGTACTTTCCCACAAAAAATAATTGTACCGTTTGATAGAACAGACTTCCCTCATAAAGAAAACACCTCTTATATTGATAGAAACAAGAGCAAAAGGCACCAAAACGGGGTTAGACAAGGTGGCATTCTGAAGTATCACTTTCTTTTCATCACGATTCCAGGAAAACCCCAAGATGGATTTACTTCAAATTTTCACACATGTTACATGATAAGATGTTCTAGAGCTGATTAACTTTCCCGCGGCCATCTTGCATTTTGGCGGCCATCTTGGAATTTTTTTAAAACAAATATTGTCATCGCGATTCTAGAAAAATCACTTAACCGATGTACATTAAATGTTCACACATGTTATATGCCTCATTATTTTTTCGGTGGCCATCTTGCATTCTGGCGGCCATCTTGGAAGTTTTAAGATAAATCTTGTCATCACGATTTATGAGGGAAGTCTGTTCTTTCAAATGGTACAATCATTTTATGTGGGAAAGTACCGGACAACAAACTCCTTTTCTAGAGCCATTTTGGAAATCAGACCAGGGACTACCATGATACTGTATCCCCAAATGCTTTTATGTATATGAAGTGCAAGTGCAATACACATGCTTATATTATTCCCTCATGTTTGTTTATTTGTTTGTTTTTTATCTTTATTTCCTTCTTTCAAGAAGAGCTTTTAACATTAATACAAACAGTTATTTATAAATAATTATTTACAAAACATACATTTACATTAATTTGATTTTGTTTTACTGCATACTTTGCCACTAAGATAATTATTTCTTCACGTATGAATGTCAATATTTGAACAAAGGAGTGTTTCAACGAGAACTTTTTCATCTCCATTTAATAACGAAAGGATGATCTCACATTTAATACATTCGTAATGTTATCAAAAAGACAATCTCCTTCCATCATAAATCCTGAACATTCCAAAAGGGCATGTTTTGTGACATCTCTGTATTCACCTTGACAGTTTAGTTTAAAAAAGAGTATATCGACTGCTTAGTCCAAGGGTTAATACGTTTGGTGTTCGGAGTGAGTCAATATTGCTATTCGCTGAACTTCAGTGGTGCAATAGTGAAGTCCATGTTCCAAGTTATATGATGGTTGAATAAAGAATGTAAATGATATCGTTTTAAGTTTTGAAATATTTGATATGGCATAGTACAGGGTACTCAGTTGCAAAAGATGATCAATACAGGGTACAAGGAATGTAAATTGTTCAATAGTACAGGGAGCGAGAAAGTAAGCTGATTATACTGAACGATTCGCTGGTTTTACACCAATTCTGAGATAGTCAATAATAGGCTAGAATCGTTGTATAGTACGATAGTACAGGGTGGTCCAAAAAATGGGACACTCATATTTCAAAAATAAATATTGATTTTCTTGATGAAAACATGTCATATTATATACCATTGGATAGGGAATTTACTCATCTTTAATTTAGTATATCATAAGTTCAAATTTATTATAATGTCTGTCAACCAGCGTTCATAATATAAATGACGTCATTTTCGTTTCAAACGGGTTTTCCAAAACTAGCAAAAACCAAGTTTTATTGTCAACTTTATTTACATAAACAGACGTTCAATATGCCCACCATTTTGATCAATTGTAGCCCTCAATTTTGGCCTAAACTGGTCAAAAGCATCACTGATATGCTGTTGAGACAATGAATTTCACTTCACAATAATTCTGTTCTTCAGGGACTGAATAGATGTAAAGGATTTATTGTTCAGTAATTCTGTTAGTTCTCCACATACGTAGTCGTCGCAGACGTTGGGTGATCGGGTGATTTGTGGAGCCAGTGATTAAGTGTGGGGGGGGGTGAATCTAGGCACATTTTCTTTTAAACATTTGACACTCTTGTGGGATCTATTGCTTAGAGCCCCATCTTGTTGGAAAATGTAATGATTCCAAAATTAGCTCATATCAGAATGGTCTAAAAACAACATAATTGGATCATCCTATATCAACGTCTGCGACAATCACATATTGGGAGAACTAAGAGAATTGGTTTATCATGAACCCCCTAAATTGCGTCTTCGTTAATATACCAAACATAGAACCGCCCGCATATTCTCAAACTAAACTATCTTCCTTGACTTTGAGCCAAATTACTGTCCACAACTTGACTTATAAGGGGTGTAGAACCGAGAAATAAAAATATCTAACGAAAACGAAGCCCAGAAGTTCTTCCATCTTGTTACGCTGACGTATCGTCAGCGTAACTAGGTGAGTACCAGTGATCCTTGCTTTATGAAGCAAACCCAAATCTAAGACCCACAATAATACCAGAGGCAACAATTCCAAAGAAAAAACCAGCAATATTGAGCGTTTTCGCAGTGACACTTTTCTTCTTAGCATTCTCCATGTCTCCTGCCTGGGCAGATTCTCTTGATTGAATAGATGCCGTACAGGCTGCGATACCTGGAATTAAAAGTCAAAGTTAGAATTAAGGATGTTCTCAAATTGAAATGACATGTACAGGGTGTTTCATGATGCCTATTCCCCCGCCAATCCTTTATTTGGAAGGGTCAGTAAACACAATCAGAGATTTACCACATGCCATGTATTACATATGTTTAGTGCAGATAGCAGCAATTCACTAATTATCCAACCGAACGAAGTTCGACAACTCAAATACCGGTTGACTGATTTGATTCAAATTTTATAGGCTTATAAATGTCTGATTGAGAAGGGATTTTCAATATGGCTGCTCAATTCAAAATAGCAACAATTTTTTGTAACAAATGTAATCTTTGCTAACTCAATGTAGACGGATTTGGTTCAAATCTTATATGCTGATGCCCAGGGACAAACAGGAGCTTTATTCAAAACGAGATTTTCAAGATGGTCACCGATTGTCTAAATGGGCGCCATTTTTCGTAAAAAACGTAATCTTTGATAACTCAAATCCCAGTCAACAGATTTGGTTAAAATGATATGCTGATGGCTAGCCACAGTAGGTTTATTGGAGAAAGAATTTTCAAGATGCTGGTGGCTGAATTTCAAAATGGCCACCATTTTAAGTAAACAAGATTGTGACTGTATTTCAAGATGGCCACCATTTTTCGTAAAAAACGTAATCATTGTCTCAAATACCAGTGAACGGATTATAAGCGCTAGCTGATATGCTCTGTTCAAGATGAAATATTCGAGATGGCCACTAAACAAAATGTGTTTTGTTTGGTTGTATTTGCTACTCAGTAGAGTTACTGTTTTTTCTAGTTTTAGAAAAAATGTTATTCATATCTATAGCCCCGAATACAATCAATTTGTTTTATTTTTTTCCATTTACCAGGGAGAAAAAAGAACCCAAATATTTGAATGAATTTCAATAATAATTCATTAGTATAGTAAGTGCATGTTGCTGTATTCGAAAATCAATAAAGAGAAGATGTCTCCGTATCACGCGCATTATACATTACAACAGACACAAATAACAATGCTATGCATTTGTGCTAATATATTTACCAATACAACAGCAACAGCAAAATATTGTGAGAATTGACCAGGTAAGGTAGTCTGGTGGTGGGGAATTCTGGGAGACAACTATCCCTGTTTGGATTGGTTGAGTTGTAATGACAGCCTTCTGGTTTGTCACTGGGTACGCAGGTGGGGCGAAGGTTTGTTGTTGGCTATATTGTGGGGGTTCTTGAGGCCCTGGTTTGCCATATTGAAGCCCTAGTTGACCATATTGAGGCCCTTGTTGAGCCCCTGGTTGACCATATTGAGGCAATTGTTGAAGCCCTGGTTGGTAAGACTGAGACCCGTGTTGTCCTATTGGAAGCGGAGGCGATGTCCCATGAGCCTCTTCTGTGTTGTATGGAGGAGGAGGCACCTCCTCTCTGCTGTCGTTAGTCTCAGCCACTTTGCGTGGATCGTCTGTCAGTTGTACAGCATCCATCTGAAATGTTTTAGAGCTTCAAATTAAGAACATGATCTAAATAATCAAGATGATTGGTAAGAAGATAGGTAGGTAGGTAGGTAAGTATGTAGTTGGTGGGTGGTTGGTTTGATTGGTTTTGTTTGTTGGCTTATTGATTGGTTGAGTGATTAATTGTTTGGTTTGTTGGTTAATTGGCTGGTTACTAATTCTTGTTTGTATCAAGACTTTGTGTGGTATTTTTGATTCAATTTTTGAGATTTCTAAACATTATAGAATCTGAATCAGATTCGGAATCCTTAGAGAATTTCCCATCATTTTGAATTTGATCTATTGATAGATGGCGCTGCCGCTTGAAGCTTATTCTTGACACAGAGGGGGAGGACATGTTGAGCAATTGTTAAAATTGTTATTAAGTGTAAACTGTTATTAAACAACACTGAAATTCATAAAAAATAAATTTAGTCAGACAATGATGCAAATATACAAGCATGTATTCACCTAACAAAATGATATTCTATTAATGAAAAATTAACATAATCCCGCAGATTTACTATTTTCTCTCTAAAATCTAGAAACCCGACCTCCAAAATAAGTATAATATACCTTTACACTATTGATTATATGGCATAGTGAAATATACCAAATTGTTTGAAAATGTATTACCTTTAAAATGATATGTAAGTCAATGTACTATATTAATTTAATTAAACATAATTTTACTCCTCAAAATAAGTTAAGGACCAGTATTTTTCCTCATAGGTTTACATAAAAACCTTATTAGTATGTATCTTTAAACTTTATTTTCTAAGCCCAAAACGAAAGAAAAACTGATAATGTAAATGTATATGCACCTTGACTCTATTCTCTATATTTCAGGAAATTTTCAATTTAATCTCTCTATTACAATAGGTCAAACATTGATGTCAAAGTTAAAAAAATTGCAGAACTCATGTAAACCAATGGGAAATGGTGGGCTAGGGGCAAATCAAATTTTTGGATATGTATTCGGTAAAACATTTAACAAAAATAATTTCCGAGTAGACAATTGAATTGTTTTACTTTGTGCATGCTTTTTGTTAAGCTTACTTTGTGAGAATTACGAATATAGAGCATCAACGTATTTTTGACAACTCATTTTGACCACCTGTGTTATTTCAATGAGAGGTATTATGAGAAATGATTTTGACTTTTGAGACTCATAACTTTGTAAAACCTGGAGAAACAAATCAATTTTTTGTTGTAGAAAAGTTAGCAGATTAAATTGTCTATTTACATTCCATTTTTGAGAGCAATTGAACTGATGGATATTTTCTCATATGACTTTTGGCAACCCAACCATTTCCCATTGGATTACACGAGTTCTGCTATTTTTTTTAATTTTCTTCAAATTTGACATCAATTTTTGACATATTGTAACGAAGATATTGAATTGGAAATTTTCTGAAATATAGAGAATAGAGTCAAGGTATATATCCATTATCAGTTTTCTTTCGTTTCAGGCTTTGACAATAAGAGTTCAAACAGACATGGGTTTAACATGTAAACCTATGAGGAAAAAGACTGGTCCTTTACTTTTTTGAGTAGTATATTTTTATCCTGGTTTGAATTTGAGTATTGTTTTTTTTCTGGCCTACCCTGTAATATAACAAACCATAAAATAGGAATATCCTATGGTTTTGAAAAGTAGCATTAATATCACTGAGTAGAAATAATTGATATCTTTTCAAAACTATAGGATTGTCCGTTATTTCATTGAAAAGAAGATTTCGAAAAATAGAAAAAAAGGAAAAAAATCTTAAATGAATATTTTGAAAAAATGTTGAAAAAATGTGAAAACTCTTTTTAAAAAAGGTAAAAAAAATCTTAAATAAATATTTTGAAAAAGGAAATGAATCATAACCATAATCATAGTGATATTCGATAGCTTGGGGAATTTTTGATAAAATATGATATCTTGATCCACGTTAATGTTTCTTATATATTATTGAACAAATATTTCACTCTATTGAGGTGAATACCTGTACATCTTTCACAAGTGATATTCCACGAAGCCCGAAGGGCAAGTGGAATATCACCTTGTGAAAGTGCTACAGGTATTCACCGAAAATAGAGTGAAATATTTGTTTTATTATATCACTGTCTAGCTAAACATCCCTAATATTTATTAAGTCATAGGTTAACATTGAGTACATTGAATCTACTCGGTTCGTCTGCCATTTTGACTTACACTGAACTAAATTATTTACACTGAACGAACACAAATTCTTTGAAAATACCCGGGAGCGTGGGATATCGCTAGATATCTCACGGTTGTCTTATCTGATTAGCATTGCCATTGAATATCGCCAGATATCCCACGACATGTGACCCGGTTTTGACCAATCATACTGTCGCTAGCTAGATAGTGATATAATAATATGATATATCTTCATCCGATATTCAATCTATATTCTTGAAACCATGAGATAATATAACATAATATACTGAAATAATACATATACTGATATAATGATATGATATATGATATAATTGTTATATAATACACTTTGAGTATATCTGCCATTTACCACAATGTGAGCACATTTCCCCCTGAGTGCAGTGTATGTAATGGTAAATATCGCTTTGGCTTTTAAATGTGAAATAGTATCATCGCCAATTCCAAATAGATTCAAGAGATCCACATTATTCTGCATCTGTAGTTGTAGTGCTTCAATTTCATCAGTATATCATTTTCAAAAATTGTATTAAATGTTTTCATGATTCAAAGCTTTAAAATTACGGTCGAGGGAGCTTCCAAACATTCCAAGATATTATAGATTCGACACTAAAAATAGATGTTAAGCTAGTTATGGGTTATTTAAATATAGCAAATAAACGCAACCTGCCCTCGTCACGTTACCCACCCAGTATTATTCCGCATATTGGGTTTTCCGGAGTATATCGTCACGGTATCCTCCGCATATTGCTTTTCCGGAGTATATCGTGGCGATATCCTCCGGTTATTCATTTTGCCAATAGATATCAAATTTATTTTTAATTTTATTATACATTTAACACACTAAGTGTGGGATAATGTGACGATACTCCGCTTGTTGATTTCCCGCCTAAATGACTCTATTTGGCATGAAATTCATTTTGAAATGATATTATACATTTAGTACACTCCTTGTAAGTGTAGGATAATAAGAACATCCTATGATTTTTTTCAGAATATCATTTTAATCTACTCGGTAATATTGATATATGCACTAGTTCGCTAAAAATGCTCTCTCGTGCAGATATCAATATCACCGCTCGGACAAAAATGATATTCCTCAAAATCATACGAATCATATTAATAAAATGATAACACTAGAGATGTATTTTCAATTCTATAAAACGAATGATTACATACAATTATCCATAACGTAATATCAGTTTACCTGTGTTGTTTTCAATCTTCTATCTCAGCTCTGATACTATAAAAGTGGGTTAGGGTGCGGGTGTGGAATGTTAATATAAATCTTGAGTTGTTTTTCATTTTGAATATTGACCTTTAAAGTTGACCAAAGTGGTCGTAAAGAACATGTTGAATGTAAAATATTAGGAGCAATCCAGCTTTCAAAATAACTGAAATCGTTTCCTTTGCCAATACTTTGCCAATCGATGCTAATACTCTCAGATTATTATATGTTCAATTACTCAGATGCGAGTAGGTAGTTACCAGTTTCGCCACCAGGTGGCTGATTCGGGGGAATTAACATGGCAGGCTATCACAAAATTCCCTTAAACTTGAATATGCATCAGTTTGAATGGTTCATTTTTCATATTACCTTTATGTATCTAATAGTCATACAAATTAAAATATGTCCAGTAAAAGAAAATATTATCTGCCCAACAAAAGAAAAGATATTTCACTTTTTGTGGTTTTACAACATGGGCTCTATGGAGAATCTCCCCGACCTAGAAGTCACATTTTCAAAGAAAATTAATTTTCAAATTAATTAATTTTAAATGTTGATTAACTCTTTTCAAAACCACATTTCTAAATGTAATTTTACATGTAGATTCCAAATATGACATCAGTTTGACTGAATTGTGAATTTTTAATGACGTAAATCAAGATTATTTCTACTCGCATCTGGGATATTACTATTACATGAATTATGTGAACAAAAACATAAAACAATTTTTTCAATCGATCCTAATTTTATCGTCGATATCTGGAAAATATATATTTAAGATCAGATATAATTTGAGAAAATTGAACATAGCAAGCAACAGTTATAATTACTTCTAACTCGTCTCTTAGTTTTGTAATCCCTTAGTTATGTCTTATTTTTACGCTCTGACACTCATATATTGAGGAGAAAATTGGGATAAAATAGGTTTTTGTGCAATTAAACTTACTAAATGGCAATAGTTGATCTGGCAATATGAGGAAAAACGTTTCTTTAACATTTAGAAAAGACCAGATTTAGTATGGCAAGTGATTTTTGACAATCATATATTTCTTCATAAGGACTCTGTGGCCATAAATACAGTGATTTTTAAAACAATATGTTTTTCAAATGAAGTCACCACAAGAAGTGGTGAGATATTGTTATAGTCTCCAACTTTTTGTCTGTAACAAATTACAAATGGCATGTGGTGATATTTTGCATGTTAATGCCTTGTTCTAACATTGATATTATTTGATGTGAAATAAATGTGTTTGCTCAACATGCACGTTTCCTTTGAAAAGTATTCTTAAATACTTGTTAAAATCCTCCATAATTAATTGCTTTTGATTCTATATGAAGATCGAAATGAAACAGTTCTTACTGTACATGGTGAGATTACAGATTAACAAAAAGAAGTGTAATTTATACACAAATTTCATGTATTGAATATCATATCATCGCGTTGTACATTGTACTCTCTTAAGCCTAAAATGGTATACTGTACATACAGAGATTCTTGTATAAGAACGTGTTCAAGATTCTCCACTTATCGAGTGGAAGACGTTGATATAAAGGGACATTACCAAACCAAATCAAGAATAGGAAACCTTGAATAGGTTCAAATGTGAACGTTTTTCTCGTGACTCTATGGTATTTTACAAAATGTCATCTTCATATGACAAAATTGAGAAAAAAATAGTGAAGAATATCTTAAAATTAATGAAACTTCATTCTTTCAACTGCAATGGCATCATAAGATTTTTGAAGCGGGCATAGATTACCTAGCAAAGCATCCATTGCTTTTATAAGTAGTATAGCAACAGGCTTTTATTGGCCCAATTTGCGTAAATTTACCCAATCTTTCCATTGAATTATACGTACATAACTGGTTTAGTATACTTAAGCCTATAGTCCTATACTCATTTCATAATATAATACAATAGTTCTTCTGGAGTATGCGACTAATAGATAACCCAAAATCATTCTTTATTTGAAATCTAAAAGCATGAGTGCATCAACTCTTCCGTACACACAATGCACGATGGTGAACCCAAAGGGCTTACGGACAACTCATCCCTGGACATCTCATCCCCTAGACAACTCATCCCCTGGACATCTCATCCCCTAGACAACTCATCCCCTGGACAAGTCATCCCCTAGACACCTCATCCCCTGGACAACTCATCCCCTAGACAACTCATCCCCTGGACACCTCATCCCTTGGACAACTCATCCTTCATCACATGAAGCTAAATTGTAAAGTGTGTCTTGGAAAGAAATACTTTTGTAAATATATCTTGGACCATTCAAAATATTATTTTTCACTTTACTGACACAAATAAACTGTCAAACGATGTCATTAAAACTCTCATCTCTTATTCTTATATTACATGACTCAATATTTCCTGACCAAACAAATAAAGTTCTCTTTGTGTATAACTTAAACATGAACTTTATTAACTTCATCTGTGAATGCTGTGAAAAATAATCTTTCGATTAAAGAATATTTGAGCTATGAACAACAAACATGTTATAACATCAAAGAAACTTCTTCAATCAATGTTAATACAGAGACATATAATGTCTCTAGTTATGCTGTGGTCACATATGCTCCGATTTTCAGCACCGGCGCCCGGCCGATTGAGTATTGTGTTCAAAATTGAATACAATTTGTCAATCGGCCGGGCGCCGTAGTAAAAATCGGAGCAAATGTGACCACTGCATAAATATCATAATAAAATGAAAAGTAAATATTTACAAAACAAATCACAGATTAATTGGTTGATTATCTCTTTGTTTTTTAGCAATTTTCCCCTCCAGAAAGTTGTTTATCAATGGTACTCCACTAGATTATGCTGGTTACCGAAACGGATCGTAACAAAATGTCGGAAGCTCAAAGAAACGATCGATTTTGATTTTTACCTAATTCTGTAAATTCCGTGTTCATGTAATATATGTTTTTTGAAACTTAAAGCTGACCATATTCACAACCAAAACATTTAAAAATCATTTGAATATCAAATATGAATTGGTAATATAATATTAAATTACTATACTCAAACATGCCAAAAGATTAGTCGTCCAGGGGATGAGTTGTCTAGGGGATGAGTTGTCCAGGGGATGACTTGTCCAGGGGATGACTTGTCTAGGGGATGAGTTGTCCAGGGGATGAGTTGTCTTGGGGATGAGTTGTCCAGGGGATGACTTGTCTAGGGGATGAGTTGTCCAGGGATGAGTTGTCTAGGGGATGAGTTGTCCGGTTACCAACCCAAAGTACATGATCAGGATGGGTCAGTGACTTACATACATGTAGGTGAATTTAATTCAAATAAAGAATGATACGGGGTTCTTTTTTTATTTTTTTTTCAAAGGAAAAACATATTAAAGCAATTGCAAAAAAACAATTACAATACAGTTGCATGGTAAACATACATTTTATATTTTTACAATACCCTGGACAACTCATCCCCTAGACAACTCATCCCCTGGACGACTCATTCTTTGGCATGTTTGAGTAATTTAATGTAATATTATTAATTCATATATTATTCAAATGATTAACACGATCCTCGATTTAATACCTCACTTTTGTTACATAAAAAGAACTTCAAAATGGTTAAGATCTGCACTTCTAACTCTTTCCATTTACATAAGAATGGTAAGGTATTAAAGCGACGATTCTGTTGTCTTCTGACTGACAAATGAACAAAGACTTTCTTGAGGGGAAATCTGGAAAATTGTTTAAAAACTGTGATATACCATGGTACTACTATGATATTGTCAAGGAGATTATCAACCAATTTATCTGTAATTAATTTGTTTTGTAAATATTTACCTTTAATTTTACTTTTAACATACATGTACAATTTCAATATTATGTTAACATTGATTGAAGCTCCTTTGATGTCATTATATGTGTGTTGTTCATAGTTCAAATATTCTTTAATCCAAAGATAATTTTTTCACAGCAGTCACAGATGAAGTTATTGAACTTCATGTTTCAAAATTATACGGAGAGAAAACTTTATTTTTTGTCATCAAGTATTAAGTCATGTAATATAAGGACAAAATATGAACGTTTTAATGGCACCGTTTGACCATTTTATTTGTGTCAATAAAGAGAAAAAATATATTTACAATTTAGCTTCATGTGATAAAGGATGGGTTGTCTAGGAGATGAGTTGTCTTGGGGATGAGTTGTCTAGGGGATGAGATCTCCAGGGGATGAGTTGTCCAGGGGATGAGATGTCCAGGGGATGAGTTGTCTAGGGGATGAGTTGTCAAGGGATGAGTTGTCTAGGGGATGAGTTGTCCAGGGATGAGTTGTCTAGGGGATGAGTTGTCCGTAAGCCGAATTGTGCATATGTACAGAAAATATCGTATAGCCTTCTATTTTGTATTTCTTTACTGATATAAACAAAGCTAGTCCTTTGTATTACATATATAAAGTGGAAATAGAGTATGTTTGAAAATCCAATTGGTGAAACTAGGCCTTACTCTTGAGTAGCCAGGCATAAGCAGGCGAGGCCACTGCCTTACTAACATTTTAACAGAAGTATACTTATCAAGACATTTTTTCCAACTAAATTTGCCTCATTTGCTTCGCCTAATGTTTGATCCTGGGTTCACCCTTAGTACTTGTAGGTGTGGTAGAATTTTACATCTACAATAAATCTCATCACCAAAACAACAATGAGGGCAACAATTCCAAGGGTTAAACCAACAATATTGAGCATTTTCGCAGTGTCACTTTTCTTCTTAGCTTCCTCCATGTTTCCTTCCTGGGCAGAATTTTTTGATTGAATAGACATTATAATAGCTGTGATACCTGAAATATAGTCAAAGTTAGAATTATGATCTCCTCAAATTGACAGAATAAGTATAAGGAGTTTCATAATGACTATTCCCCCACAACAATATACAGTAAAACCTGTCTAAGTGGAACACCCCGTGGTACCTCCAAAAAGTTCCACTTAGGAAGTGTTCATTTAACATTGAGTCAGTTGGTCTTGGGACTCTGAAAGTGTTCCACTTTACAGATTTCACTGTATTTTGAATGCAAAATGTCACTTGTCCCGTGGGCTTGTGTGTGAATATTTCTATATTCAAATGCATTATTCATCAATCGCAATACGATTGATTTTTTCTTCTAGTATTTATTTATCTTTGTGTTCGATTTTAAAAGTATTATAATGAAGTCGAATATTATTTAAATTTTGATACTAAGTGTTCCAATCGTTGCTCCATTTCCCCAAATCCAAACAATTTCCTAATCTATGAAAAATGAATGCTATAATGTAAATATAATTACCAAGACAGGGGGAACAGAACAGTGTAGTAAGAATGGACCAGACAAGGTAGTCTGGTGGTCGTGCAGGATTCTGGATGACAACCATCCCTGTTTGGGTTGGTTGAGTTGAAATGACAGCCTGGTTTGTCAATGGGTACGCAGGTGCACTCATGACTTGTACGTGTTGACCATATCGTGGGCCTTGTTGATGCGCTGCGTTCCCATATTGAGACCCTTGTTGAGCCCCTGGTTGGCCATATTGAGGCCCTTGCTGGGCCCCTGGTTGGCCATACGGAGACCCTGGTTGGCCATATTGAGGCCCTTGCTGGCCTGGTTGGCCATACGGAGGCCCTGGTTGGCCATATTGAGACTCTGGTTGACCATATTGCTGTTGTAGTGGAGGTGCTGTCCCATAAGCATCTCCTATGTTGTGTGCGGGAAGAGGAGGCACTTCCTCTCTGCTGTCAATAGGCTCACTCTCTTTGCGTGGATCGTCTATTAATTGTTCAGTATCCATCTGAAATGTATAATTAATATATTTTGGAATTAAGATCATGTGTTAACCCTAATGTCCGCAACCTTTTAACAAGGCATTAACATGACAAAATGTCACCACCTTGTTGCTCACAATATTATGAGTTCAATTTTAGTCAGATTTGAATTTCTGAGAACTTGTAGATAATTTTGAAAAAATAAATTGGTCAATTTGAAGAAAGTTGAAAAAACTTTTTTGACTCTGAGAAGGTCATTGAAGGTGAAATCTCGAATCTAAAGTCAGATTTGAAAAAATGGTCAATTTGAAGCAAGATGAAAAAATACCTTTTTGACCATGAGAATGTCATTGAAGGTCGAATCTTTTTTTACCTTGAGAGGGCCATTGAAGGTCAAATCTACAGTCAGAATTGAACTGTTGAAAACTTGTAAATGATTTTGAAAAAAAAGATTAGACAATTTGATCTGTATTTGATTTGTATTGGTCACGGAACCCAGCTGGAAACTTCTCCTTTAGTGCATTCTTAACACCTGCTTTAAGATCAAATTGACCTTGACCTTGAAAAGGTCATTGAAGGTCAAATAACTTTAGATGATTTTGAAATAAAAAATTGGTCAATATGAAGCAAGTTGAAAAATACCATTTGACCTTTTTTGACCTTGAGAAGGTCATTGATGGCCAAATCTAAAGTCAGATTTGAACTTCTGATAACTTGTAGATGATTTTGAAAAAAAGTTTGAAGCAAGTTGAAAATTTGAAGCAAGTTGTTAAGTTATTGGAAGTTGTAAGAATTTGTTTCAGACGACGATCGCCAACCACCAACCGCCAACCTCTGTCAAAAAACGGAGACCACCACAATATGTCACCACTTTTTGGTGGTGACATAATAACACCAAATCGACCAACCACTCTGCGATTTTTATTACTTGTCTGATTTCAATAATGTTGGTATTGTTGTAAACCTTATTCAATTACCCTTTTGGAAAAGTATTGATTTCTTTAAAAATAGATTAACAAAGGTAACATCGAGGTCAACGTGACCCAGGGGTGTAAATATTTGACATTTTGTGAAAAAATCATCTTTCTGTCAAAATATTTTTCCGGTGTCAACATGTAAAGGGAGTTCGTCGAAAGATCAATGTCGCCAAATATGCTATATTATCAATTTGTCAGTTACTGGGAGGGGGTAGGGTGTCTGAAACAAACAAAAAAGCTTCCCGACATCGATCCAAGGGGAATTGCAACAGGACTTTTTCCTCCCACAATCCTCTTTGCGCGCCTCCATATTGAAAATATTTCACATTCTTTGAAAACATTTTCAACTTCTTTTGAACTTCTTTTTCACTTTTATGGAAAGGCAATATATAGAACCCCATCTAATGAATATGAAAGACTCGTCAACAAGGTACATAATGATACAATTTTTGTTAACATCGCGCGTGTCAACATTTTCCATATATACATGTAGTTAACAGGGGGGAGGTGGGAGGGGGTGTCTGACCTAACCTAACGTTTATACCTCTAAAAAATTATACACGCGTGAATAGAATTAGTCTACCGTTCCATTTACATCTAAAAAGGAGAAGGGTTTGTTATTCTGATTGTAATTCACTTCAGATTCTTTTTGATTCAATATGACATGAACTTGCAGTGTCAATAGGTTAACATACAAACAACGTTAAACCTTTTCTAAAAATATGCCTTAAGGCGAAGCGAAATTAAATAAAAAGTACAAAAAATGACTGCCATATTTTTTTGTTAAAGACACATGTTTTTAAAATTTGTTTACCTTGTATATGAATTGTATATCTTGACAAATGAAACATGTCAAAGTTAACATCACACATAAACGCATTTTTCTAAACTATGAATTGGAGGTGTATGGATCCCCAAAGCTAGCATGAAGAGTGCGAAGTGAGGCTAATTTTTGAAAGTTTCAAGGAGTAGCCTTGCAACAGTCACACATTTGCAAGAGTCTAAAATTTCCACAAATCATCTTACCTTTCCCAGGATCAACGAAGGAGCATGAAAATGTGTACTTCTTGCATTGTAAGAGTATAATAAAGCTCAAACCATTGTAAATCCTAAATATTTCATGTCCACCATTTTGTTTGCCGGAACTACGAGGGTTGATCCAAAAGTTCTCCACCGTTTTATCTAAAAAAATTATTTCTTGGTGGATTTTGTTCATACTTGGTCAGGAGCAACATGTATATGATAGCTTGGTATTGTATTAATATCATCGAAAAAATATAATATTAACTATGTCATTTGGTTACCATAGTAACAGGACAATGAGGTAGGCGGAGCTGAATAAATTCACTGTTTATTACAATTTCAAACAGTGTGGTATTATATATATCCTCACTTCACACTCTTCATGCGAGCTTTGGGGTGCCATGCACCTCCAATTCATAGTTATGAAAAATGCGTTTAAATGTGAGGTTTTCTTTTATGTGTCTCTTTAGTCAGGAATTGCATTCACATACAAGGAAAACAGTATACAAAATCTTCTGACTTTATCAAAAAAATATGGCTCCCATGTTTTTGTAATTTTGATTAACTTAAATGTCACCTTAAAGGGAAACAAATTCACGTCCGGTGATCGGAGAAATGGGACGGAGAGTGGGGGGGGGGGGGGGGGGGAGGCAATTTTTGCTAGAACTTGATCAGATTTAGAATGACAAATGCTTTTAGATGGTTATATTTTCCCCATGAGTACTTAAATATGAAAATTCTCATTCTCATTTTATCTTTCAAGAATTCTTAAGGAACATAAAATATCAATCGAACAATTCGAAAGATTATGAATAGGGACCCCATGACAACATTTTTTCAAAATGTTGAACCTGTTTACTCAAAAGAGAATCTTCCTTTTCAGATTTTTATTGCTTGAAAACATTTTTCAACAAGGGGTCTAAAACTTCTTGAAACGTAGAATGGGTTGAAAGTGTAGTTTTGAAGATATCAATTTTCTATGACCAAAATTATGCTGAAAACAATGGAAAGCATGAGTTTTTCCTATGGGAAAATAACATTGGATATGTGGTTTTTAACTTTATCGCATTTCAATCCCCATCCCCTTTTCAGAAGATTCCCCTTTTTTTAGAAAATAAGCCTAACATTTTTTAAAAGTGACAACATGGGGTCTAAATCTGGTCCTTTCAACAAATCTGGAAAATTTATTTTATTTTAAGAGAAAGTTTATGATTGAATTGCTGAATGAATAGGCGCACGGTATTGCGTATTCTAGGATTTTTTTAACCAATACTTTTTTAAGGTATAAGATCTATTAAAAACGTTAACCGTTAAATTGAATTTTTGACCTACTAGATGTTCGAAAATCAAGGATTGCGAGTCTCATACTGCACCGTTTTTCTTCAAACTTATTCCTTTCAAAGCATAACAAAAATGTAAATAACAATGGGTATAGCTGTGCATGATGGACTATTTACACTAATATAAATATATCACTCCCTATTGTTTCCTATTTCCCTTTGACACTTGTGCATATATTATTGATAAAATGACACTAGTGACACTATATACCCGATATATTAATAAATTAACACTATGTATAATTATACCTGAAAAATCTAAATGTATATGTTTTCCGAGCAGGAACAACCCAAACCTGTGCTTCGTACATCCGGGGAGTCTCTATTTGATAACTATGAAAAATACGTTTTCATATTAAACGTATTTTCAGCTAAATAAAAACGATTACAGAAAAATAAACATACCATTTTCTCAGTATATCCGTGTTGGTTTTCAATCCCCTCTGGTCCTCTGAAATATAGGTGGATACGTGCACTACGTAGGGGAATGTTTATAATGAATCTTGAGTTGTTATTTGAGTGAAATATTGATTTTTTGATTTGATTAAAGTGGTAGTAAATGACACGTTGAGTGAAAAATGTTGAGATCAACCCGGCTTTTCATTATGTGACATACTTTCGTCTTGCAATCGATCCTAATTTTATCATCCATATTTAAAAAGTATATATTTAGGACATCTGACATAATATGAACATTATTGAACATTAAAAACGACAGTTACTTTCAACCCGTCTCTTAGATGCGTTACCCCTTTAATGTTAATGTCATATTGACATCGGTCTTGGTTTTTCAATGTTGATGAGGGGGTAGAGTTAATATAATATAGGGTGTATGTGCAGATATAGTATAGATGTTATGGCAAATGAGCAAAACACTTTTTGTTATTTAAATCATCTGTTTAAAATAGTTTCTCTAGACCCCAGGTGAATTTTTTAATATACACCAACAAAGAAATATAATGTATGTTTAAAGTATAGATACTTACATAAGACAGGTCTATGCAATATCTTTTCGTTCCAATAGAAAATTCCACTTTATAAAGCTGAATACGTCTTTTGACGACCCTGTAGGATCATCCATTGGTGTGGGGGCATATTGTACTCGTTTGTGTCCTTGTTTATTGGTTTGCATAAATTTTGTATCGTCTTTCTACTTTGATCAATGTCACGGTGCCGATGTCAATCTGCGCGCTTAATTAGGCGGCGCGCAGTTTATTTCGATCACAAACTGCGTGCCTAACAACATTGCATCATTCAAGTTGGAGTCTGTATTTTGAAACGTAATTTTAAGGCATTTATACTGCATTGTTTTCTTGTTTAATGCGTTCATTTTGTGGTGAATATACGAATCTTGCAAAAACTTGCAAAAACTATGTGCAAATGAATCTAAGTTTTAAAACATAAGCACATTAATGGCATTTTCGTCACCAATTTAATGGGAATTTATACATGAATTGATCTAGTACGTTAAACATAAATGAAAAATACTTCAGGCTCGTTTTATACTTAAATCATTACCCAGTTATCATGTGCAATTCAAAATATTTGGAGTTAAAACAGTTAATCGGGAGATTAAAATGAAATATAGCACAAACCGTGCGCCTATTTTAGCCAGAAATTACAAACTGCGCGCATACACTATCTAAACTACAGATACGTACTTATCACTGGAATTTCTAGAGAGGCATATGCAGGTGCTTTGGAATTCCTGCTATATCGTCAGACTTTATGAGATTTGCATATTGAAATTCAAAGTTTATCATAGAAGTAACAATTAAGTTGGAAAATAAAAACGTTTACTGCCAGATTGAAAGGAGATTCATGAATGGATGGCTCAAATATTTCTCTTGAGATTTGAGAGGACATCTGATCAAAATGATATTTCACAGTATTTTTAAATAGCTTCCTTCTTAGTCTTTTTTATTAGTCTTTCTTTTTTAACAGCGCATTTATTAAATTTGTTTTGTCAAAATCTGGAGGCGGTGTCTCTGGGCATTTTATCTTCTGACAAGTTTTGGGGACTTTTTCTTGTAAAGGGAGAGGGAGTGTTGCTTACGTTTTCTGAAAATGCAAGCTTGGTACGGATAGATACAAAGTTTTGAAATATTAGGCGCGCATTTTGGGAAATACATGTGAATGTAGGCTCGCAGTTTGACAAGAAAAATGTTTAAATCACGTTTATGGCTGCTTTAATCAGATGGAGTGATCCTATATATTCTAGCATCAGATACAATGGCTGAATGAATGTCAAATGACGATAAAAGACATAAATATAACTTAACACTGTAAATTTTGAACGAAGAAGCTACTTAAGTCCCTTATATTGAGATAACTAGGTTTATATCGGAAACAACATTGGGTACCATGAATAGATAAAGTTCATCTTCACAAAATGGTACTAAGGACGAGACTAACCTTGTATTTTTCGTATTGTGGCTCTTTTTGGGAGTCGTGTCCTCCCCGTCTACCATTTTGAAATATGCGCGCAGTTTGTTAGAGTTTCAAACTGCGTGCCTAGTAGGCGCCCAGATTGACATGGGCATCGTGAATGTGATTTGAGAATATAATGAATGCATTAAAATGACATTTTAAGGCTGAAACAATGGAACTTCTACTTGATCTACCCTGGAATGTATAATATAATATGTCTTACAGTGTCACCCTATTTTAAATTCAAAAATGACCGTTAGCTCCGCACCCTCCGCTCATTTGCTCCGCACCCAATATTTCCCACAGGCTCTGTCTGCATAGGGTGAGTGTTAAGTGTTCTTTTTATGATCATACTGCTCAAACCGCAGAAAATTCAGGCACTTGCATTAAAAGACCTACAACTTTTCATTCTAAATTTATTCATGACAAATGAAGGTTAAACATTTTTTCAAACTTTGCATTGGTCCTTTAAACTAATCACGTATCCATCTATACATAGTTAGGCAGGGGTAACTCCCCTATTAATTGGTCAAATATGATTTCAGGAACCTAACACCATACCACCGGCTAGCAACAATAAATGACTCATTTGGAAATCAAATGTCTCCAGAAAAAAGCCACCAAAATCAAAAGATCCGATTGGTTTTCTACCATTTATTCGAATTCATCAACAAGTGTACCATTTCGTCACATTTATTTTCATAACATTATACACAAACATAAGATGAACAAAATAAAACGTAAAATCAGTACATTTCACTGGTTATTACACCATCGTCTCGATATTTAATTTAGATTTTTGTCCTTCCGCCTTTTCAACAGCTATGGCTGTGGAGTTATCCAAGAGGAGGGGGAATCCCAGAGCTTTAGCGATGACGCCTCTTGCTTTATCACCTTCGTTTGTCCAAATTTTCAACGTCTAGTTTCCAAATACTACACTCCGACGTGATGTTTTAATCGATGTAGGCACGTAACGTTCACCTTTCTTTATATTGGAGTACTTTTTTTGTTTCCCTTCGGGAAAAATATCTTAAAACTGGTGAGTAATCAAAAACTGATGGCACTCTCTTCTTGGCTACAATGTTTTCTTGGCTACACGTTGAGAAGAAATCACGAAAAAATATTGAAAAATGACAAAGACAAAATGATTATTTGACCTACAAGATAATAATATACAGGGTGGACCAAAAAACAATACCCAACTTTAAATCAGGATAAAATTAGTTACGTTCAATATGGCACATTGACTTATATATATTTTTAAAGGTAATTCATTTTCAAACAATTTGGTATATGGCACTATGTCATGAAATCAATAGTTAAGTTTTATTATACTTATTTTGGAGGCCGGGTTGCTATATAGGGTTTCTAGATTTTAGGGAGAAAATACTAAATCTGCGGGATTATGTTAATTTTTTATTTATAGAATATCATTTTGTTAGGTGAATAAATATGTTCAATTACTATTTACATGAATTATGTGAACAAAAACATGAAATAATTTTTTAATCGATCCTAATCCTAAGGCCATGAATACAGTTTTTTTTAAAAATATCAAACCCCTAAAGGGGGGGGGGGGGGTAGAGCATAATTTGTCACGTTTTACTTGTTTCTATTTGTATCCCATATATTTAAATGTTTCGCTTATAATAAAACTCCTCAACATTAAAACAGATGGCAGCTATGTAGCTAGTAGACATATTTGATGAAAATCGACATACACTCCCCTCTATAAGTCTAGATTGAAAGGTTTCATTGGATTATGATGATGATTTGATGATTTTTTTTAAACAAATCGCCATACATAAACATGATTTAGAGTAAATCCATGCTATATTACCGTATTAAGGCCACTCTTAACGATAGTGACCTACTAAAACTGGACCCCCAAAGATATTGCTATACTCTCCAACTCTTTTGTGGACGTTGTTTGACGGTCGATGTTTGGCGTCTGTAACAAAATACAGATGGTATGTGGTGACATTTTGCATGTTAATGCCTTGCTCTGACATTGATATTATTTGATGTGAAATAAATGTGTATGCTCAACATGCACATTTCCTTTGAAAAGTATTCTTAAATACTTGTTAAAATCCTCCATAATTGCAAAAAACTGCAAAACGATTTGCTTTTGATTCTATATGAAAATCGAAATGAAACATGTTCTTACTGTACATGATGAGATTACAGATTAACAAAAAGAAGTGTAATTTATATACAAAGTTCATGTATTGAATATCATATCATATCATTGTATTGTACATTGTACTCTCTTAAGCCTACAATGATATACTGTACATACAGAGATTCTTGTATGAGAACGTGTTCAAGATTCCCCATTTATCGAGTGGAAGAGTGTTGGGACATTACCAAACCAAATCAAGAATAGGAAACCTTGAATAGGTTCAAATGTAAACGTTTTTCTCGTGACTCTATGGTATTTTACAAAATGTCATCTTCATATGACAAAATTAAGAAAAACAAAAGTGAAGAATATCTTCAAATTAATGAATTAAAATTCAACACGTTTGAAATTAGAGTTGAATTATTTTATTTCCGGTTGATATAACGTCTTAGCGTTAGTGAAATCGAACGCGATTTCAACTGATTGGATAACATGATGTGATCATGAGTAGGTTATGTGAGTGGATGCACGATGGGATCGTGTTATTCTGCGAGTAGCAACCGAAGCGTTTATACACAGTTTTAGCATGATGCGTCTATTTTTGGTGCATTCGGTCTTTATCATTTAGCCCTTGTTATATGCTTATATTGATACCTAAATATACGATGAACAGAGGATGCATGTACTGCAATACCGTCAATGTGTTTCTACATTGGATTGATACTCATCCTTCGTGCTGATGCAGTAAGAAAACGCCAATGATTTGGCAAGGGTAAGAAGTAGTTTATATTGAAACAAGTAATCTTTTGCAATTTCGTAAGGTTTAGAAAAGATAGAAAAGATTGTTAGACTACGACCCACTCTGATAATTGTAACTCCTTCCTTACATGAAAGGTTACACATTCCAACCTATTCCAAACCATCTGTATGATGATACTAGACACTTTCTAGGTAGTTGGACTTTCTATAGGGGTGGCAGACGGCCCTCAGACCAATTTATACCCCTACCCCAAAACAACCATGGGGGTACTTTAATACCACCCAATAAAAATAATACTAATGCATGTCAGATGTTCATTGTATTATATTGGGTAGGGCATGTTATGGTTAGTAAGTGCCAGAAATTTCCAATCTCTAACTGATATGGTTACCATAGAAACAGTATTTATATCTTGAAATATTCTCAATTTGACCCCTCCCAAATGTGTCCTTTTGATCTCAAAGTGAAATATTTGCAAATCTGTTTGGATTTTGTGGCTGCTACTTTGTCAAAAATTGTATCAATATGTATATTTTAACATTAAAACACTGAAAAGTGTTCATAATGATCCTATAAATCAATAATATTTATCAAATATAGTCACACATAGTTGCTTTTAGGGAAAAGTGGGCGTGGCACTTTTTGGTACGTGTGTACTTGTTGCAGCATTAAATGAAAAATACAAATTATACTAACAACAATTGACATTTAATTAGCATCTACTTATGTTGTGTAACATTGTATTATGTTCATTGTCATTATTAGACACTTTAAATATTTTATATAAGTGTTATCCCGACCCTTCCCTTTATCCCTACACTACACCCTTCAAGGTGGGCATTACCAATCGTGTCAAGTTAACATTTCTGTTTGATTTATTTTTACCATAGACAAGGTACAAAACCTTTACCATGAGTACTGACCTTATTAGGTGCTAAACTGATGAATGGATAGGTAGATGGCAGCACTTGTGCTGGTTGGACTACACGCTAGCATCTACCATAGACACATATTGATTTACCATATTTGTTATTTCACATCAAACTTAATGAGATTCAGATTGTGTTTGAAATGAGATGATCTTCAGATTTTGTGTGAACCTTAAATTCATGACAATCAAAAGAATTCAACATTTAGGAAGTCAACATTAAGATTTTTAACATCGTCTCAATGAGAATTTAGCCCGACCTTTTTCAGAAAGTTAAAGATCATAGAAAATTGAACATAATCAAAGTTCCTCAGTAGAACATTTAATCTCCTAAAATCACATTAAAACTATATCAGCAATATTTCCAAGCTAAATAGTATAAAAACTTCCATCACATCATTTGCAACGTTTTCATTATTCAATAGTTCAACCCTATATGAATTATTGATGATTTTAAAAGTGCAAGGAAACTAAATGAATCAGGGAAGCCAGTGATATGTATTTGCCTTATTAATTGTTGACTTATACAATGAAATAGACTTAGATGCAAGTAGAAATAATCTTGCTTTATATCATTAAAAATTCAAAATTCAGTCAAATAAGTGATATCATATTTGAAATCTTCATGTAGAATTACATTTCTTCATGCAATAAGTTAACCTTTTAGTGAGTAGTTGTGACTAATGTAATCATGTACTTATACAATTTGTCAGTAAAAGTTATTTATCCTATGCTTAGTGTTATAGGTAAATAAAATGCATGAATATAATTGATACCTTAGGTGAATGGGGATATACATGTACTGCATATCCCGCTTTATCCCATAGTTGGTCGTGTTTCAGGTACATAAAGCAGGTTTGTAAAAACTTATATTTTCATCAGCGGGCAGATATAGCTTTACGTCCCGTTGCGAGCGGGCAGATATAGTATATCTGCCCACTCCGTCATAATCACCCTCGGGCAGATATATTATATTTGCCTCGGGATAGTCCCAATATCCTGAACCTCATTTAGGATAATCTCTATGTATCGCCAGGTTTATCACCCGCTCAGTAATCCCCTGCAGGAATTTCATTCTGTGTAATTTCTCATATTTTCGTATTTTAGTATATGATAAATAATTTTGGGTACAAGGTATAACCCTTGGGAAATACAATATTCTACCCTAAAACCCTCGGGGAGGTATATTCTATTTCCCTCAGATATATTGTATTTCCCTGTATTAAAA